TCAAGCCATGATGGTTAAGAACGGGATTCCCAGTGAATTTTCACCGTAGATAATATTATATATATATACTGGTTGGTGGTTTTAACCATCTTGAAAAATATTAGTCAATGGGAAGGATTATCCCATATATTATGGAAAATAAAAAATGTTTGAAACCACCAACCAGTATATATATATGTGTACATACAGGATGGGGCCCCCCAGTTAGTTGTCTGTTTATAACCCATTATAAACCCCATTAACTAGTTCGTTATATCTACCATCAAGCATAGAATTCAGCCACTTATGTTCGGCAACTGAACGCTATCGACTGAGGGCCCCATCCTGTGGGAAAATCATGTTCTGATCCTTTGACCTACAAAAATACGAGCAAAAGCCCATTTCGACACCTCACACGCTACAGTTGAACACGAAACATGACCCAAGTCTGGAATCGCACAAAGGGGCCCAACGATACCCAACAAGATGCCGAGAAGTTGGAAAGCTGGAGAAACTGTTTGGGGAAAACAGCATTGAAGGAGCCTGCTGGAAACACGTTTCAACATCTTTTTCGAGCTTGCTATACATACATATATATATAATTATATATATAATTATATATAAATTTATATATATAATTATATATATATAATTATATTTATAATTATATATATATACTTATATATATATATATTGAGATACTTGTAGCAGGGGTTCATCTCATGAATATATCGACAGTTGGAATACGGTACAGTAATACGGTGGATGGGTGAATATCATGATCTTCCCCATAGAAACACAAGTCATTTCTGGAGAACCCACTTGATTAAAAAAAAATACTAAAACCTGATATAGTTGAATTCGGAAAACTACCATCCAACAATTATATGCAATTATAGTTGACCCTCGATTAGTGTATATATATATATATTATACACTATATAGAGTACATATAATTATAATCATAGGTTGGCTATATTCTATACTATATGTATATATACACATAGTGGTTTTAATCATAATATATAGTACTACTGCATATACTATATGCACTCTATTGCTCCAAATAGCGTCTGAGAAGTTGTAAACAGACCCCAAGTTAAACAACTCCAAATACAGTCTCAGTCTCGGTGTTTGGAGCTGCAGGGACAGTACAGAATAATGTCAACCCTGGATTAATAAACGGCAAACGGCTGTTCAATTGGGAGGGTACCATAAAAAAGTATCAGATGAAATGACTATTGGAGGAGTACCCCCCAAATGAAATGACTATTGGAGGAGTACCCCCCAAATGAAATGACTATTGGAGGAGTACCACCCTAATTGCCAGAAACCATGGTCTATTAATTCGGGGTTGACATTATATCTTGGGTATATCTTCCACCTTTCGACCATGGCTGCGATTCTGCTGTCCTGCCACGAGCCGAGCCGGCGCTGGCGACCTGTTGTTGCGTTGCAGCTGCCGTTCAGGTGACATGTTGGGGTGACATGTTGATGTTCATCCCATAGCTAACTGTAGATATATGATGTATCTGGGTAAAGGCCATAATATTTCACGTTCACCTGAATCTTGCGGCCATAAAAGGGGATGATTTCCTTAACATAAACCATGATTCCAGGGTTCGGGAGAACAGTGAGGTCGTCAGAATTTAACCATATATATATATAATCCCATCAATCCGATGGTTCACCTACCTTTTTGTTTACGAAGACCTTAGCGGCGCGAACTGGACCATCACCAATATAAAATTAAATTCATACAGGATGGTGCCCCCCAGTTATAAATTAGTTATAAGCCCATTAACTATAGTTATATCTACCATAAACTATAGAATTCAGCCACTTATCTTCGGCAACTGAACGCTATCTTTGGGGGGCCCTTAAATTCATAGGTAAATCCTCATTCATCATAGCTATTTTCATGGGCCATCGAGAAAAACCCAAGTCCTTGGTGTTTCACCCCGACCCAGGCGCTGGGTACCACAAGCCATATCGATGGCGTTCTCTGGTCACATTTTTTGGGGAACGGAGAACCCCCAAATTCCAAAACGTCAATGTGAACGCCCAAAACGTCAAGGTTGATGTTATTCATCAAAATCACAACGTCATCTAAAAGATGGTGACATCCCATCCTGAATCTTTTACCCCACAAAAATCAGCATGTACCTTCATTGAAGCCCGTTAAATCCGATTCATGTTCCATTAAATCACCATTTTGATGTCCATTAAATCACCAGTGACATGGGATATCTTTGACCCTTAGATAAAATAAACTTCCCAGTGGATCACCCATGAAGGCTACCCGATGGTTTCAACAACCAAAAATGTTGATGGTTTACCTATAAAAAATGTTGATGGTTTTATTACCTATAAAAATAGAAAATCATTGAATAAACCTATAAAAATAGATCCTCTGGTAATTTAACACATATGATTTCAATGGGAAAATCATCTAAAAATGGGTGATTTGTGACACTTTGCGAACTGGAAAATCACCATTTTTAAGTTCGGTAAACCATCTATTTCCACCATTTTTTATAGGTAAACAATCTATTTCCACCATTTTTTATAGGTAAACCATCTATTTCTATGGGCCATCCGCGAACTGTTGGAGGCTACCGGCCCGAGATCGTGGCCTCAACGACACGTCGCGGCGGCACGCTGCGTGCCATCGCCAGGATTCAGAAAGCCAGGTGAAAATTCATCCCGGGGCCCCCGTTCATTTTGGCACATTTGTAGTTGATTTACCTATCAAAGATGGTGATTTTTCATAGCGAACTGTTAGTTTACCAGAGGGTACAAGTGGACTAAGCCCAATCCCAGCTTTTTTACATCCTGTAACTGGGGATATCACCGATATAAGCTGCTTAGGATTCATGGGATGAGCCACCAAGTATACATGATTATCTGGTTGGTGGTGCAATAACCATCTTGAAAAATGATGGAGTTCGTCAATGGGAAGGATTCTCCCATATACGAAATGGAAAAATAATCCATGCATGTTCCAAACCACCAACCAGGAAACCATGATTTATTAAAGAATTTCCACAACACTGGGACTGTTTAGGCAACGTCTAAATATTAGGATGAGATTAGTGGATTTTTGGAGTGCCTTGGCTAAGCAATGATACCCCCTTCATCACATGTTGGAAGATACTTGAATAATTGTCACATTTACATTTAGAAACAAAACTAACATACTAACTGGAATAATGTTGATGAATCTTCCATGTTATCTGGAAGTTTACTGGAATACTTTTCACATTCCACATTTACCCTCTGGTAAACATACTAACAAAACTCATGGGAAAATCACTGGTTTCATGGAAAAATCCACTATTTCGACTGGCCAGAAATACCAGAGGCTACCCCTTGAAATGACCTCGGACTTCAATGAGTCCCTTCTTCGTTAAAGCTTGGAGATTTTCAGGGATCTCCAGGTCTGTGCTTAGATCCTGGTAACGAAGGGCGACACAATGGAAATCATCTGGAATATCTGGCCAGATTTCCGAACAATCCGGCCTTCACCAATAAGGTCCTTTTGGTAAAAATAGATGGGCCGGTTTAAAATTTACCATCCATCATCAAACAAACCTGTTGTTAAAGGGGTAAACCTTCAACCCCCTCTATTTTCATCAACCCAACCAATGGGAATTTAGGACATCTATGGCCTTCACTCTCTCCAATGATTTTTGCACAGTTGAGTCACAGTTTTGAGCCAAGTGGGTCGGCTAATGGGAAAATATCGGATGTCCTATGATTGGTTCTAAAAAAACGCTGGAAAACAATCAAGAATAGGAATATGACCAGGTGTATAGGGCTGTACCACATGTCAATCATTGATTCTATACCATTCAGCAGGTGGTATGTTTAAACCCATTTTAACCAAGGTCAGCCCCTATGAATTGCTGTTTAAATCAAGTTAAATTCAGATTTTCTTGATGGTTAAATCAGCTTAAATCATATCTTAAATCATATCTTCAATCATGTTTTAAAGCATGTCTTAAAGCATGCCTTAAATCATATCTTAAATATGCTTAAAACATATTTTGAACTAAATATGCTTAAATCATATCGTAAATCATATCTTAAATAGTCTTAGATCATATCATATCGTAAACCATGTCTTAAAGCATCTCCAACAATGACCAACGTGTTGCTCCAAAAACCCTTTCGGCTAAACCGGAAGATCCTTTTCGGAGTCAGATAGAATCTGATTTCTGGGATTCCCCTCATTTCTCACCATGGTCATTCCCTGTGAAAAACTCAAGGATTTCAGAAAGGGGACACGGTCGTCGCGTAAAAAAAAATCTGGTGGGATAGCGACTTCACTTGGATCGTGGCCTTTGAAAGCTCGGGAAATTGAGGACAGAACCATAGTAATATATATATATAATGGTTTCCAATCATATATAGTACCATTATATATACTATATACACCCTAGTGCTCCAAATAGCCCCTAAGAAGTTGTAAACAGACCCCAAGTTAAACAACTCCAAATATATCCCTCCGAACGGCAAAGGTCTTCCTAAAGCACTGTAAGTACCCAAAGGCGGTCTTTATTTTAGAGCCGAGAACATGGAAGCTGCAGCTGCTTTGCAGGCACAGAAACTCGCAAGCTCATAGACTTCTACTCTACACACCCGCTGCTCTGAGAACCATGTGAACATAGAATAAAATCATCGAAAGGATCCACTTTCTGACCCATTGACCCCTGAATTTTTGGCAGTCTCTGGTATCATCTAATTTCAGGTCCCTGCAGCCTGTGCCATGGCTAACTAGAAAGATCATCGAGCTAGCTAGACGACTTTCCAGCGGAAGTCCAGGAAAGAAAACTGCGATATTTTTTTTTAGAGAAACGTGCGGTCGATTCTCAGATTGCTGGGGATTGCCAATGGCTATAATGGCTATATATATATATATTAGGATATGACCATTATAGCCATATAATTATAACCATATAATTATAGCCATTATAGCCTTTTTTTGCCACATTAGGATATATCATATAATATAATGACCTGGGGATATGATTCTCAGAGTGGATTTGTCGGCGGTTAATCATGACCTCCACATCTGGTTGTCCACTTAGAACTCGTCCAACTCATCGTACTCTGCCGCGCAGAGCATAGAGCCCAAGCTGCTCCTCGCGGTGACATTCTGTGGATACAGGGGACAAACGAAAGGTAAGTTGGTGAACATAATTCCAATAACTATGGCTTATGATACTTGTAACTATAGTTAATGGGGTTTATAAATTTATAAACCAACTTAATGGGATTTATAACTATAGGTTCACAACCGGAATTGTCGTGGATATCTCTACAATTAATGTATTCTATAGTTGAATATTAGTTGACTGGTTGGTGGTATACCTACCCCTCTGAAAAATATGAGTTCGTCGGTTGGGATGATGACATTCCCAACTGAATGGAAACATAAAATTCATGTTCCAAACCACCAACCAGTTGAATAATGTTACATAGGGTTATAAACCAACTTATCCAACTTATAACGGGGGACCCGGAACCCTGTATCGATCACCCACGAAAACTCGGGTTTCTTTGGCTGCAAAATTTAAAGTGGGGTGAGCATATCCCGATTGTTCTATGAATAATATATATATATATTACCTTCTGATTATTTGATATTGCTATGTAAAATGGCCCATGAAAAAAGATGATGTGTTATGATAATTTCGCTATTTAAATCTATTAAAACTGGTAGATGTCCATAGCTATGTTGTTAAATGATCACCAAAGGGTATCTACTACCCTCTGGTAAACTAACATAGCTATGGAAAATGGACCATTTATAGGTGACTTTATAGGTGATTTTAAAGGTGATTTACCCATGAAAAAAGTGATTTCGGTATGTTAGTTTACCAGAGGGTAATCTTGTACAAGGTGAGACCCCCCCAGTTGTGTTTGAAATATGTGTGTTGTTTTCTAAACCCATTAACTATAGCTATATCTCCATAAACCCAACGCGGTTAAGCAAGTTAAACGTGAGCCTCACCTGGAATGTGTCAGCCGATCTGGAAATAAACATCATATTGTTGAGAAATGTATCCCCATGAGATCCCACTAGTTCTAAAGATATTGTTGACATTATACCCCCCATTACATCCCAGTAAATCCTACAAATATATATATATATATATAGAAATCCCAAAAGAAAAATTATAGATTCATCACTACTTTAGAGTAGGTTTCACCATTTCTGGTGTCTTTTCTCCATGGCTCCCGGCTCCTCCTCGAAACAGGAACGGCACGTCGCTTGCAGCGCCGGCGCGCTTGCGCGGGGCCGCAACGCGTTTTTCTCGGTGGAATCCTGCGGTTTCTACCATTCAATGGATTTCATGGAGATCATTCATGGGGTTAAAAAACAACATGATGAACCATACAATGTGGTGCCCCCAAGATCAGATAGCTAAGTTGGTGAACATAACTCCAATTTCACTATGGTTTATGGTACGCTTAAATAACTATAGTATTCATGGGCTTTATATTAACCAACAAACATAACGTTTGGGGGCCCCACATTGTATAGTTCGATAACCATAAACCATAGTTATCTATTCTATACTTATATTGATATTCCCATTAGTGAAGCCCTTTGGGATTAAAACCCACATATCAATGGATTGGTTTAACGGAAAAATTACAGGAAAACCCCTGTTTTTGAATGGGAAAATCGAGGTTTTCCCTTAAACCAATCCATTGATAATACCATTCTATGGAGATATCACGGAGAAAAAATATGGAGATATACCATGGGAAAGTTATAAATATATATATATATATATTGAGAATATATAATAGGGATATAAACCCCAAAGAATATAAATATAGTCATAGCAGCATCTATCCGTACAGGTGATTTCACCCAGAGAAATGCGGATTTTCCATGGAAGTTTTCAAGGGAAAATTCCAGGGAATATACATGGGGTATCTACAATGTGGCACCTACTAGTTGTGTTTGTTGGTTGATGTTGCCTCATTTAACTTGTTCGAGATGCTATACCCCAACAATCCAATTGTTAGCCTGGTTGTGTTTAGCCAAAAAAAAACGACTTAACCAGTCTATAGTGAGATACGATGTATATAATATATATGTTCATGTTGCTATAATCATCATAGCATGTTGTACCACTATTATCATCTATGATCTTCTATGATCATCTAGTATCATCTAGTATCAACTATTATCATCTATTGTCCATGATCATCTAGTTTCATCTACAAGTTGTCGATTTAACTCACATCACACCGCTGAAGGCACATCTTGTGTGGCAAGCGCTGTGAAAAACACTACGCACATCACGCCGCTGAAGTAACATCACGAGCATTGTTTTTTGCAATGATTCTTTGCGGGCGCCAATGAATTCCACAAATCATAGAAAGTTGCTGAATTCAAGGAAACAGTGCGCTCGCGCAGTCAACATACACTTTTTCCTTTGAAATCACCTTCGAAAATCAACAGGGGGTGCGACGCGGCGCCGGTCAGAGCCAGCAGCAGCAGCAGAAGCAGCACGAGCAGCACGAGCAGGTTCGCTGCTGGTGCTGCTGCTTGTGCGTTGCTGTTTCTGCTGGTGCTGTTTTTGCTGCTCACAGCACCACCGCAAGTGTAGCATAAGAAAAAAGAAACGCAGCCAAAACAAGGCCAAGGCCTAAAGGCATACCAACCCACCAAGGCTCTTCTGGACCGGAGAACAAGGAGGGAAAAAGAAAAGAAGCCCGGGACAGGACAGCACCTGGCAGCTCCAAAGCGCAAACAGCAATCTGACAGCCGCACCTTGCAGCGGCACCCTGCAGCGGCACCAGCAACCCAGCTCCAAAACGCAAACATGCAACTCTGCCTATACTTGAAGTAATACCCCCAATAGCTTCGCTGTCTGGGGCAAAAGAACCTACACGAGGAAAAAAGTCAACTATGGAACTAGGTCAACCATGGAAAAAGCGAGCTGGCGCGCTGGTAAACGGCAATCATGTATGATTTAGTGCAAATATCAAATCACAAGATTTGAGTGCAACTGTGTTTTGTATGGCGGGCGCCAAGCAAGATGCGACTTCAACAAGAAGATGCGACTTAAGTCCAGACCCTAGATCATCTGTTATCATAGTATGGTACACTAAACCAATTCGCAAAACTTCGCAAAACCACAACGATTACACATTTCATGCCCTCCTTTACTGGTCAAAGATGACGACCCCTGCCACGAGTTGGGGGTTGGAAAATGAGTTTGCACTAGAAAGGGTCAAAATTTTCAGGGTCAAACTCTTGCAGCCATTAAAAACAGTGATTTTCCATAGTTATGTTAGTTTTCCAGAGGGTAATTTCTGAATTCAGATGATTCGGATTTACTGGAGTTACTGAAAATTTCAGGGTCAAACTCTGAATCTACTGGAAGGTAAATGTAGCAGGACGACCCGGCCTTGGAAATCCAGGCCCCATATCGTCGCATTGCCGTCGTTCTTCGGCTCCAGTTGCCGAGTGACCCAGCTGATCCTCGGTATCCAGGGATGGTGACACTACTGGCACCGGCCGAAAAATCATCTGGTTGGTGGTTTCAACCTACCCCTCTGAAAAATGATGGAGTGAAAGTCAGTTGGGATGATGAAATTCCCAATATGATGGGAAAAATAATCCAAATGTTCCAAACCACCAACCAGATATGTTCTTAACATCCTTGAACATTGGCAACACTTCCATTACCCACAAAATTCGATCATGCTTCCTACAAGTCGTGGGCCCCCCCAAACGATAGCGTTCAGTTGGTGAACATAACTCCAGTAACTATGGTTTATGGTACTTACTACTATACCCAAATGCTCCATGGTGCTGGAATATTTACCTACATTTACCCCAAAAATGACCCAGTGATGTAGGTAAATATTCCACCACCATGGTTGGCATCTGGGATAGTATTCTTGGGGTTTATAAACCCATTTATAGCGTTTGGGGGGGCCAAAAAATTGTTCCGAACCATTGTTCCGGCCAGATTGCGAGGGATGAAGCCTCGGCATTTGCACGTTGGGATGTGTTATAAATACATTATGTATCTGGTATATGGTAATATTGTGTTTTGTTACTAGTTACTAACCATTATACATAAATATATAATCTAGCTGGTGTTTTATATAACTATAGTATACTATAGTGTAGTTTCTGGGTTGGTGGTTGAGCCACCCCTCTGAAAAATATGAGTTCGTCAATGGGAAGGATGACATCCCATATATGAAATGGAAAATAATCCAGCCATGTTTGAAGCCACCAACCAGGTATATGGATTGTATATGGTGTATCTATACATGTAATGTATATAGGTGGGGTGAAAAGCCCTGAGCAATCCCATGGAGTGCTACCCACCGGATCTACCCACGATTCGTGGTCCATGACGTGAAAACCATCCATACTTAGATGGGACATGGAGTTAGTGAACTAGTAAATGGATTATGTCAGTGGGATTTTTTGAAGATTATAATATTATATAATTATGTTATATCCCCAGTTACCAGGAGTCGCGTTTTTCCCATGGCCCATCTTCCACAACTTATTTTGCTAACTGGCTCGGTGAATTTGTGCCCCAATTTTTGCGCGAAAAAAACATGTACCTTTCACTAATCCAAGGATATCCAAGGTTGACCCAGTAATGGAATCAAAACATATGGGCGCAATATTTCCTGGTTGGTGGTTTCAACCCCTCTGAAAGATGATGGAGTTCGTCAGTTGGGACAATTATTCCCATATATTATGGGAAAATAATCCAAATGTTCCAAACCAACCAACCAGATCCTATGTTTTTCCTATGGTTTTCCTATGGTTTTCCTATGGTTTTCCTATTATCCTATGGTTTTCCTATTGTTTTTACCAAGAACTCTGAAAACATCCATTTGACCAGGCCTCAGCCGCAAATTCCCATGGCGTCTCCTTCGATGGCTCAGATTCGCATGCTCATCCTTCAGGTGAAGCGTGATGAAATGTTGGGGACATTATGGGAAAAGAATGGAAACGATGGGAAAAAACATGAAGTTGAAGTGTTGAACAAAACACTCTTGGTGAATGTTAAGCAGGTCTATTCCTGGATTTTGAATGGTGGATATTCCTCTGAGAAATGGCTAAACATGACTTTGTGGCTTGTTGCTCCCCTGCCAAGAGTGTCAGTTTGGTAAGTTACGTGGTAGAAAGTACATCCCAACCGTCCCAACCCCAAAAACGAAGTTGATCGAAGCCTAAGTGGCTAGAAAAACAAATTCTTCGATCCATTTCAATGGAAGTCTAAGCCCCAGAGCCATTCAAAACATGTTTTCCAACCCTCCACCCTTGTCACCCTTCACCTGCCAACATTTGTGTAGTCAATTCAAGTCAGGCAGCATTCCCACGTTCACTTGCGTGTGGGTCTTCTCTTTACCTCCGCCCACGATCCCGGCGATCCGGTGAAGGTTTCCCCGGGGTTACCGATGGACTCATCTGCCAGGAATCCACATCCACCAAAAATGTCAGGCGCCTGGATTCCTACCCAGAAAGGCTCTCTGTATAAAATGAATGGCTGATAAACCATAGAAATTCTCATGTTTTGCCCTACAGGCTTGACATAGATCCGGGGTTTGACATTGATGGGCCACAAAGATCTATGTGGTGAATTACTACGTTCTATGCCCCTTCTATATAAATGGGCTATGGCTTATGGGTTATCTTAGTAAGCCACAGTCTGTTCCGAAGATCAACCCTCGCTCTGTCGAGGTCGTTCCTGGGTCCGTTCCCACAGCTTCTCAATGTCCGGTTCATGGCCAATGTTGGACATTTTTTTTTTTTTGAGGTGTCCTAAAATAGGGCTACCCGAAAAAAATCATCCATCTTATTTTGGGATTTTCCCATGGAAATAATCACAATCCGGCGATTTTTATGGGTACCCCCATGACTATGGAAACCCCCATATATCGAATACGGTTAAATTACTGTGTCTGAGCGAGAAAAAGCCAACTGAAGCACCAGCTTTTTGCCAGTTAAGGCTATTTGAGATCAGAAATCCCCAGGTCTCCAGCTAAAATCTTCTAAAAAATCAGCACGACTCTTTGTGTTAAATCCTACTTAAAAAAAAAAAAACATGTCAATTCATGGATGAACTGTGGGTATTAACCACTTACCATCCAAATATTTCTTGGTTAAATCCTCACTAAACCATCATTTTCATCACCAAATTTGTTGCTGGAGTTTATCTCCCCGCAAAATTTTGCAGAACACGCCGAAATCCACCATCGTTTCACCATTCTGAATGCCCCTTGGACCAAAAAAAAATCACCCAAAAAAACTCCGGAAATCCCATGGAAATATCGGAACCGTCCCCTATAGCTAGATGGGCCATGGAGTTAGGGAAAACTAGTTAGTAGCCATGGATTATTTCATTGGGATTTTTTGTGGGTAACAAATCCCCAGTTAACCAGGAATCGCTAATCAGCTTCCCATGGCCCATCTAAGTAGTACGTTCGGTGGGGCCCCCAAACGTTATGTGAACGTTGGTTTATAAACACCACAAATACTAGTTCGTGATGGGTATCATAAACCATAGTGAAATTGGATTTATGTTCACCAACTTAGCCAGAAATCCACCAGAAATCCCATAGAAACATCATAGAAATCCCATAGAAATCCCATAGAAACATCATAGAAATCCCAATGGAAATCCCGCAGAAATCCCGCAGAAATCCCGAAATCCGGCGCCTTTGGTCTTGCTCTCCTTGGTGGCCTTCCTGGCGCTGCGTCCTCGCTCCACCGCCTGGATCTTGGTGGCCGCCTCCTCCTGACCTGGCCGACCAAGGGCCAAGGGGCCGAATTTTGGAGGATGTTTTTATGGTGGAACCAGGAAAAATGGGGATTTCCATGGGATTTAAGCATGCAAAATGTGGATTTCATGGTGATTCAATGGGGATTTCATTGGATTTCATGTGAATTAAACATGAAAAATGGGATTTCATGGGTTTTAACCGAAAAAAATGGGGGATCTAATGGCATTTTCACCAACTAGAACTGAGATGTTCGTGGGATTCGATGAGAATTTCATGGGATTTCATGGGATTGAACCATCAAAAATCAGTTTTGGCCTTGGCCGAATCTATTGATCAGTGGAAGATGCAAGGTGGTGCCCCCAAGATAGCTAAGTTGGTTGATAACTCTAACAACTAGGACTTGTGGTAGATATTAGATATATCTATAGTTAATGGGATTATAAACCAACTTATAACTTGGGGGCACCACCTTGTGGTACCTTTCTGATCCCATCAAAATAGAACCCCCCGATAAATACAAGGTACTATGGCCCCGGACATCAACCAACCAGCTTTTGTCAATGATCTATCCCCCCTATGCTCGATTTGAAAAAACAACCCGCCGGACCGGAAACCGTGCTCATCGGTGTGCACATTTTGTCCAAAAAGGGTGATTTTACCACAGTGCCGAATTGATTTCTGATGTTGGAAACCTTGCAAAATCTGAGGCGCGTTTTCTGCCTTTTCACCGTCATCGCTGCAACGTAGAATGATGTCACGTAGAATGATGTCACGTAGCAACAACACCAGAAATCTCTGCAGCGTACTAACAAGTAACGTAGCAACGATCCCAGAGATCTCTGCAGCGTAGCAAACTATAATGTACGAAGTACAAGAAACGTTGACATGCCCCCCCACCCCACCCCAACCTAACCTCCGAAATTGTGTTTTTCAAAAACGTGCGTTTTACGAGCACGGTTTTCGGTCCGCAGGCAAAAACAACTATAAATGATCATTGAATCCCCACAGGATAAGTCATCAACCGGGATTGATATCTATGTTCTCGATTATATGTCCCATTATTTCACTATAAAATGGTAATCATCATCAACCAACTATGATGTGTCCCTAAATTTCCAATTATTCTGATCATCAAATCCGATTGAAAGCCACATAACATGGTATATGTTACACATATGTTGATGGATATGAACCCAACAGCCACAAGAGCCCACCCAAAGGTGGCACCAACTGACACTTGCGGATGGCCAACCCTTAGTGGTTGCTGGTGGTTAAGAAACCCAAAGGTAAAGCCCTACTCTTGGCGACTCACCTTGGGGTGTTGGAGATTCACTATTTCTATGGTAACTAAATCCCATTAAATGCACCTACCCTCTGGCAAACCAAAATAACGAGCTGGAAAATCACCATGCTATTAATGAGCAAATCAACTATTTCGACTGGGCCATTTTCTATGTCGCAAACTGTTAGTCTACCAGAGGGTATATTCCATCAATCACCATTACTAACTATTACTGACAATCATTAACCATTACTAATGTTAACCATTAGTAAATGGCCATTTTCAAGATGGTTAAAACCACTAACCAGAGGGTAGTATAACCAGAGGGTAGTATATCCTGTTAGTCGAGCAGGCCGGGTAAATCCCACGAAATCCCGTGAACTCACCATTTTTATTGCCGCCTGAACGAGCAGAAGTTCCGGAGCTTTTCATGGCTTCAGACCCCACCTGAAGGAGTCCATCGAACGGAGCTTCCCGGGCTGAGGTACAAGTGAACTCATCAAAGAAATATCTTTGATGTAGATATCTATAGATATATAGTACATTAGATAGAATAGGTAACTACTATTACTATATCACATCATATCATGTATATAAAGTAAACTAGTTTTATTTAAAAGAAATCCATTGCGGTGTATTTCGGGCTTAGGTTCTCTTAAAATCGAACCAAAATTGGACACAGCAGCTGAACACTGCGACAAAATCTGACAGAAGCTAAGGGGTCCGCTAAGGGCTCAGTTACAGTTCAGTTACATTTATCACTGTGAATAAGTGTAAATAACTATCACTTAAAGCACATGGAAGACCCAGGGTTAAATCCAATGACATCTCTACTATATCTCCGTCGTTAAATCATCATTACCCTCTGGCAATTTGTTACATAGCTATTGAAAATACACCATTTATAGTTGATTTACCCATGAAAAGCATGGTGATTTTCCGGTTCGCTATGTTAGTATATCATCATTAAATCAATTTACTCTGGGGTAAACAAACATAGATGTTAAGTTTCCCATGGTTTCCCCAAGAACATGATCTACAAATGGTGGGTTGTTAAATCAACCAATAATCCTCCATTAAACCACCAAGTCCCTCCATTAAACCACCAAGTTTTTCCATGAAATCACCATTCTAATCCCACAAAAACTATCCGATTTTGGCAGGTTAAATCATCACTAGATAAATATTTACTTGCATCTACTATCATAATATCCCATTGCATCAGGGTTGCTCCCAGCACCCCCGGTACAAGGGGTGTTTAATTGGCTGGATCAACCCTGTAGACCAACCCTACATTTTACCATAGCAAGAGATTAAAATTCGTATAGTTCGTATCTAACCCAGGTTGACCCAATATATCATTACTATCATAATATACCATTATTATTTTATATATATACCACAGAACCATAAATATCACATTATGGAATAGACGTGTTATCATTTAAAATCACTGTAACAATATCACTGTAAAAATATCACAGAACTATAAATATTATCATTATAAATATATAAATATCACCGTAAAAATCATATTCCATTTAAAATTCCGTTGTATTCTATTATACTATCATAAGCCATCAATCCAGAACATCATGGATATGGATATCGTTGAGATCCATCCTTATGGATTTGTTTCTCATTATGTATGGGCTAAAATCATTTCATAATATCCTAGGAGATGAAATGTATGCACGGTGGTGCCCCCCAAATAAAAATGTTTGTCGGTTTATAAATCCCATTAACTAGTTCGATATATCTACCATAAGTCCTAGTTGTTAGAATATCCTATGATATGACATGTATTAGTTTGTATGATCATTCATATAATCATCATCATTTCATATAATAATATCCTATGATATATGTCCTATGAGTTTTTTCTGGTTGATGGTATACCTACCCCTCTGAAAATCATGGAGTTCGTCAGTTGGGATGATTATTCCCAATATATTATGGAAAAATAAAAAATGTTCCAAACCACCAACCAGCTATGATATTACTAGTTCTATGAAAACATATTATGCCATTAGTCGCTTCATTGAATCACATGATATGATCATACAAGTCCTGGGGCCCCGTAGGCTCCGTAGATACGAAAACACCAAAAATTGGTGAAGAAAACTCCCATTTCACCGTGGTTTATGGTACGCTTAAATTGTTTGAACTAGTTCATGGGATTCATGAACCAATGTGTACTGTAACGGGGGCCACATTGTATGGCACCTGGGTGAACTTACATAACATGTGAACATAAATTCTGAGCCTCAAACATGACACACACCAGCTCCATTAGTACATATATATATATATTTATTTATTTATAATGTCTATACTGTATGTTGGTTATACCTCCCAACTGTTTGGTGATTAGGACACATTACAGCATTATTAAATATATTACGAATAATAGTTTTAGTTATATGATGAATTATATGAGAATTTTCATAATCATGCCATTCTTCATTAACATTCTGATTGTAGTGTGATCATAAATATTAATCATAATTAACCATTAAATGACCATAATATTATTGGATTTTATCATAAATACTAGCACTAACCATTAACATTCTTAATTATCCAGATATCATGATTATTATGTTAATGATTAGTCTTAGTATTTATGATTAATTCCAATACTCCGATTTCTGATCATTCATTTGTATAATGAAAATCATTCTCCGATTTCTGATCATTCTCATGATTATCATCTCGATTAACATTCCATTCTTCATTAACAATACATTATGAGTTAAATGACCTTTTTTCACCTTTCCAGATGCTGCAGAAATTAAATGACCATGAATCATCATTATTACTATGGTCGATTCGGATCCAGAAATCTCCGTGCCGAGCCTTGGTCTTCTTGCTCGCCTTCACCTTGGCCTCCGCCTCCTCCGCCAAGCGTCGCTCCTCTGCCAGGAGCCTCCAAGCTCCGGCCGGTTGCCCCACGGAAAAATGGTCGTTTTACCAGGAAAATGGCGATGTTATCATGGAAAAACATGAAAAAATGGCGGTTTACCATGGAAAAAAACGAAAAATGCTGGTCTTAAAAAGGGAAAATATGTTTGTCCATGGAAAATGGTAGTTTAGTTTAGCCATAAAGAATGCCGCTTTCAGCGATCAAAAAAAGTGGTGGCTTCAAGCATAAAAGCCATAGTGGTTTCACCAGGATCCAAGCAACGAGAATCTATGGCTTGGTTGAAGGGAAAATGGTACAGGAAACACCCATCTTTCATAGAAAAATATATACCATGGTTTGGAGATATACCATGGGAATATATATATATGTATATAGGAAAATCGATGGTTTCCGGCGAAGGTTTCCCGTGAAAGCCAATGCATTGAAAGAATCGCTGATTCAAAGAAGAAACTATGGTTTGAATCAACCAATACGACCAAAAAAAATATCAAGATTTAATTTCAATTCGCTCAACAGAATCTGGACTGAGATCTAAACCAACACCTTGATGATTTAACCATCATTGATCAATCATCATATGAAATCTAACCAGCCAAAATGTGGATTTAAGGGAATATGATTGGACAATGAACGAGTTTTGAAAACGCCCCAAAAAAAAGTTTGGACTTCACCAGCCAGAATGGGATACTAACTAACAAATACGGGGGTTGAACCCAGCACAGAATATATATATATAAGTAATTCAGGTTTGTTCAAAAGTTGGGGGCTTGACTGGGGGTATCTTCCCGGATGCAAGTGGTTTTCTTCATACAAGGTGGGACATCACCAACACAGGGCATTGGGATATCCCCAGAAAATATGGCCTTATATGGTACAGTACCTCCAATTTAGGATCCTGAGATTCCCATTGAAATCACCATGAAATTCTAGGAAACTCCCATCAGTTGACGCCTCTCTTGTTCCTTCAGTTGTTCTTCCAATTTACTTCGCTTCGCCGCCAGCTCGGCCGTCGCCTAGCTGGATCATTGGGGTGTTTATATCATCTTATTCTGACCATCACTGGGTGAATTTAAAGGGGTTGTTGGGGCTGTTGACATAATCGATTATTCTTGGTGAATACTACATGAAACCGATATATATATACAATTATATATATATCGTAGAACTCATCTTTTGACTCCATTTTGCATGCCAAAGATTAATCACATTATCCAGAGAGGTTCCTTTCCATGGGTTGTTCCCAGCACAAGGGGCACTTTCGTGTGGTAAGTTGGATAACCAATAGAGGTAAACTGACCAGTTTCAGCCCCAGACATGGCTGATTTACCCATAACAGGCTGGAACAACCTAGTTTGGATTACCCTCTGGCAAACATACAAAAAGCTATGGAAAATGGCCATTGAAATAGTGGATTTACCCATTAATAGCACGGTGGTTTTCCATCCTTTTCTGTAAACGTTTACCAGGCCGGGTAATGTGGCAAAACTTGGGGATCATGTCACATCATCCCATAGGGGTTTTTGTCCAATAAGCAACCTCTATTGACGATGGTTTGCGTTTACCACGTTAATTTTTCTTGTTCGATGATATATGTATAATATGGATATATCAATGTGTAATCGAATAAATATAATATGTATATATACATATATATATATATGTATATGTGTATATGTATATATATATGTATGTATGTATATATATATATATGTGTATATATATATGTATATATATATATGTATGTATGATATATATATATATATGAGATGTCCACTTTATAGCCCCATTCATATTATCTCATTTATATATCGGCCCTGGCCGCCCCCATCACCGAGGATCATCCGAACGTGCATGGCTTTAACCAACATGGGGATCTAAATAGTCATAACTGATCCTTAGACGATGAACTGATTTTGTACCTTAAAAACCAATCCGCTTATGATGGTAACCATCAGTTAAAAAAATATCAGTTATATGATTGGATGATGTTATGTTCCATCTATATATAAGGGTTGCTATATGGTTAATCATAAATGGGCTGGTTGGTTCGGGGATAAACCCTATATAGCATTATATGGGATCCTATTTAGAATGGTTGGTTAATCATATAAAACCCTAATATCTTTAATTATAGGTTATATGATTAACCAACCATTCTAAATGGGATTCACCAACATCGTTTTTGGATGGGATAAACAGAACGGTATTTTTTTCGCCTCACGCTGAGGAAGCGGTCCACCCGGAATGTAAATGGATGATAAGCCATGTTTTTTTCGTAGGGTATATCCATTTAAAAAAGACTAGGTGATCAGATGGTTACATATGGTTACTACATGTTGTTACCAACTGAGTAACTTGGTTATTGGCTGCTGCACATCCATCAATGGATTGGTTGAAGGGAACATTTACAAGAAATCCCCATATTTTTCATGGGAAAATCGGAAAATCTATGGTTTCCTGCAATCTGGGGCCTCCTAGATAGTTAAGTTGGTCTATAACTCCAATAACTATGGATTATGGTAGGAAATAACTATAGCTACTGGGGTTTATAAACCAACGTTCACATAATGTTTGGGGGCCCCACACTGTGTTCAATCACCATTAAATCACAATTTTGCCATTTTGGTGAATAAAACCCCTTGAAATCCCATTAAATCACTATAAAACCAGCATTTTGATTTGCCCTTAAACCAATCCATTGAATCCAGGATGTTAATCCCTCAATCCCATCTCCGATTCGCCTCTTCCAGACTTTTGCTTTTCGCCAAGAGCTCGTTCAAGCGCGTTTCTTCCTGCCGGAAAGCCATGGTAAACCCAAGCAGACGTGGATGAACCATGGCAAGTTGGTGTTTCAAATTTAGTGACTCGTGAAATAATAAGGATATGGTGTTCAACCAAACATGCAAAGAAATGGTGTTTCATATTGTTCTTGTTGAAACACATGGAATATTTGCCGATGATGGTGACGAACCATGGTAATTAATGAATTATATATATATATATTATATATACATCATGGTAATGAAGATTGCCATAAACATGATTCAACCCCATTGAACCTCATTAAGCGCCATTACATCAAACCCCATTAACCACTATTAAAGCCGAATAAAGTCAAAAGATACCCTTTCCGATCCATTCCTTTTCATACCACGCACATGACCGGGGAATTCCGGAATTTCCGGTCGCCTTGTTTCGCTCCTCTTCTGCGACAGCGGCCTTTTTGGCAGCCTAGCCCCATGGAACATGCTGATATAATGGGGATGTATACCCCGGAGGTGTTATCATGGGAGTTATGGACATCCATCCCATATAAGCATAATCATAATATGTTGATCTATATAATATATATAATATATATATATATATATGTGCGTGAACATATACATACATGTGATTACATGTGGTCATATGTGCCATAGTCAAAACATGATATTGGGGTTATGGTCATCCATCTGATATTGGGATCATTGTAATGGGTGTATGAAACTTTACTAGTGGATTGAAAATCGATACCTTTGAGGGAAATGACCCATGTGCTAACCATGGCACATTTGACGCTGCTGATGTAAAAGGTCGGCCTACAGAGAAATTTTGCAGACATGTCTGATAGTAGAGCCTTGTCAGTGTCAGGTTATAGTATTTTTTTGAGTATACTTGTAAATCCGATACTGGGCTACTTTTCTGGGATCTGCGTAACGTAAGGACCATGGATGGTGAATGGATTTTCTACTTACAGAAATGGTGGTTTAGCGGGTACCAACAATAGCCAACAATATAGTTACCCTCTGGTAATTTAACATAACTATGAAAAATCACCATTTATAGTTAATGTTTCCAGTGAAAAATGGTGCTTTTCCATAGTTATGTAAACGTTTCCCACAGGGTAATATATCTTGATATAGCCAACCGGTGGCACCAGAGTTCGGAATCGCCAAGTTGGTTGAAATCACTAAGCTAGTTGATGGTTTTATGAGGATGGGATAATGGGGATTCATTGCCATATATATTGCTTGATGGAAACCGAAAAAAAAATAGATCATGAATCATGAACCCCCATATATATATATATATATATGCTAGCTGTTCAGCAATTGAACTCTAGAATCAAAGCATGATTTTTTCGGTTTGCAAAGCATCTATAAGCATATATATATATGTGTTTATATTATATATATATATTTATTTATTTTTATTTATCTATTCATTATCTATTTATTCATTATTTATTTACCCGCTCTTTCCGATTGCAGTGGATACTGGAGGTGGCGGCTAACATATCCCCAACTATGATCAATTGGGCAACCCACAAGGACAAGGACTTGTCTTCTTGGATGCACGTGTCAATCAATGGTTTCAAACCTTCATCAGTTCGGACCATGCATATCCCCCGGTCTTTTTGCATTTACATACTAGGGTCATTAACCATAGGTATACCTCGCAAAGAATACTACTTGAATGACAAACAAACCATGACAAGCCCGTATACCGGATCCACACCTCGCCTCATCCACGACAGAATGCCTCAGCGCAAAGTGCGGAGACACCCTGATCTGAAAATATGACAATGTCTTTAAAAAAACAACGGTGATTTTATGGCATGTAATGGTGATTTAATTGGGTTTTAATGGCATTAATGAGATTTAATGGGATTTACTGAGGTGGAATGGGATATATTAGTATCATGGGGATATACATACAACCAACAATATTGGCCCCTTCGCCTGTTCATATTTCCAACCCCCATAAACCATGGCTTAAGGTGATATTGGGAACGGGGGTTTGTTCTTATCGTCGGATGGGATTACTAACCCAGGTGTACATACTCTCAACCTTATTCTTATTCTGGAGTATTGACTTCTTCCAAATATTCAAGACCCTTCATATATCTTCAAATGGGAATCCAAATGAATAAATGATCCAGTACTCAGCAAAAGTTTGGCTGCGGGATATTCAATATAATTAGCCGAAGGGATTAAGTATTATATTGTATTGTATGATCTTTAAAAGTTTAAAAAACAATTTCATGGTTTGGACCTTTACAAGAAGACACCCGAAGTATTTTCTGGGCTTATGGTGCAAGCAACGCGTCTTACAAACTGGAGGACCTGCTTTGCAATACCAATGGCCTATTCAATTCCCGACATGAAGGTGCATGCCATTGTTCAAGCCACATGTGGTTAAGTTTTCCTCAAACCTGTGCAAAATCCCTGAACCCCTACATACGGATACATACGGTACAAAAGTTTCTCCCTCGAACCCTCGGATTTCAGTGATCGACAGTTATCCCTGATAAAGTAACCGGCTGCCACGCAAACGAAATGTTTTGGCGGATATATCAATACGTGGACGGGCAACCGAAAGTTTGACAGCGCACGTTGAGTTGGCTGATGGCGGGCAGCAACCCTAGCAAAAAACTTTTTGGCGGCGAAGGTGGGCGAACAAACATTTCTTTTAATGGAAAGATTCGGAATCTTCCCACCAGTTTTCCTTGTGCATCCAAGATCAAGGCGCAGCGTGCGCAGTGATGTGGTTGAACGGATATATGCATATAGGCTGAATCCTGAAGGAAGTAGTTATATTTCAAAGTCAGGAAAAATTCAACGGGGCCGTGTGAGTAAAAGGCCTACATGATTGAAGGGTTCACAACACTCAGTCCCTGCAAAGAATCAAAATTTCCGCACCGTAAGACCAGCAGCAGTCACATACAGCGGGAGCACTCATGAGAAAGTTTGCTTACAAAATCACAACATCAGGCAGGTGGTTTTTGTTATGTTCGCACAAACCTGATTTTGCGGCGCGGGCCTTTAACGGCCTTTTCACCCATTCAACCCTGGTTTTCATGGCCTCTTCACGGTTTTTTCATGGTTCAACTATTTTTGCAAATCTCGAAGGTGCCCCCTCGATTTTTCAAGCACTGGATATCTTTGGGGGTGGGACTTGCTTGGCTAAGTCTCACAAAATACTACCTAAAAAAAAAAAACGTAGAGAAAACCGACCCTTGTCCTCAAGCTAAAAACCGGGCCTTTGGCAAAGGCATATTTTAGCGAGGACTTGGACAGGGAAATGCAGACATGGTAACCGAATTTAGCGGGACAAAATACAATACCGCCTTAGATGGGCCATGGAGTTAGTTAGCTGGTTAGTAACTGGGGATATAACCCCAGTTACTAACCAGCTAACTAACTCCATGGCCCATCTAAGGCAGCGAGTGCCGGTTGTTTTTAGGTCAACCAGCGCTTTATTGGGGCTCAGCCAGCCAAGTAGTTGATCCATTGAGGTCGCAATATGTGTTTTTCCACGGATCTTCAGCCCCTATCAATGGGGCATCCATATGTTGGAAATTCTACACCCAGATGCTCCATGTATGGAATATTGACCTACAAAACTGGGTCATTTTTGGGGTGAATGTAGGTAAATATTCCATACATGGAGCATTTGGAAATTCTAAATCTCAAACGCAATCTTGGGACGACGTTTTAGCATGCCGTTATCTTCAATGGAAGCCAAGTCATCACCCAACCATTATAATTGGTTGAGCATTCTTGGGCCAATCCCGGTGAAGTGATTCGCAGCCGAAGCCGCACATCTTGACCTCTGGATGCACCTTACAACCATGGCCGCCCACCAGGTGCGACACGTTGAACGCCCCCCAAAACGAGGTGAAACGAGGAAGACTCATGCCTTCTGCCGATCAGACTCATGATTTTTTGAAAAGCTGATTTAGTACGGGGTCACTCTTCATTTGGGGGTGCCATATTAGACATATTCAATACCATTGGTTAGGAAAATCCTTGGAATGCCAATTTCCGGTGTGAGGCAGCTGCCTCAGCGAAGGCGAAAAGATGACTCAATGGGAATTCCAAGATCCTAAAATGGAGGTACTGTAACATATAAGGCCATATTTTGCTGGGATATCCCCTTACATAAGCTTTATATAGGCCTTATATATGGTAGGTACCTCCACTTTAGGATCCTGAAATTCCCATTGAATTGAATGATTGGTTGAACGAGCAAATGAACCAGCGAATGAATGAATGGAGGAGTGCACGCCATTTCCTAAGCCACTTCTCTACGCGACCTCTTCACTGCACCTCTTCAATGAACCCAAAAAAAAGCTATCTCTGCCCCTAGAATTCCGGACTTACTGGGCAGTCAAGAACTGTCTTTGCTTCCCGCTTTTCGGAATACCCAAGTTTGGCTATACCCGCAATGATGGGAATTGTTGTTTCTTGGACATGTGCAGCCTTGCCAACCAGGATTTATATAACACTCCGAAACTAGACCATCAAATGAAAGATGATGTGATTCCGCGAAAACGAAAAAACGCAAAACTTAAATGTCTGGACAAATCGCCAGAAATCACCGAAATAAGCTCGGGCGTCATTCTCACTGCAAGGGAAATCATTGATCTTTCACAATGATCAATTTGTCGGCAGAATTTGCCCAGCTTTCCACTTCCGAATGGCGCTGTCAGGTATTGCTATAGTAAATATGCGATGATACATGAAATATCCCATGACGGATCCATGGTGCTGGTATATATATATATATATGCTAACATGACTGGGCTATATTGATGGTAAATGTTAGCATATATAGCAGCACCATGGATCCTATGGGTATGCAGGAAATATGCACCGCACGGAGCCGCTTGGAGCCCGCACGGAGCCGTGGACGTTGCTTCCCGATGATCGGTCGCCGCCTCGTTTTCCAACGAGCGAGATGTGGGAGATGTGGACATTACACGACATGACTAGAGATGAGAGAATCTTGGTGATTTAATGGGATGTGTTCATGGGATTTGTGTAGGATTTTATGGGATTTGTGTAAGATGTTTAAAGGATTTTATGGGATTTAATCTTCATAGGATTTAATGGATGTTTATAGATTTTATGGGATGTAAGAGCCAAAGTGGTGCAAAGAATGCATGATTTAAGTAAGAAAATTCATTTGGTCCTTTCATGAGATTTAGTTCGCTAAGCTGGCGAAGGGTTCACTATAATAACTGGGGTTTATAACTACGGTTTATCTTTCAGTGGACATTGAAAAATATCATCAAGACCATTTACTACAATATATATATGTATATAATTATATATATATATACATATTCAATTCATGGGAACATATCTACTACTCAACATGGAGATCCAATATTGGATACTATCACTACTATCACTGGATATGAATTAATTCATTGCAGTAATGGGGATCTGAATTCGTGGATGGGATTATATCCATTTAGAGCAATCCAGGAGCAGATAGATACTTAATATTACATATAACATTATATATATATAGTAGTGGGACATTTTAGTGGATTACACCCACTATATATCATTATATAATATTATATATCTAGATCCACTATATAGATAAAATATGATAAAATATGATAAAATACCATACTCAAAATCCACTAACGAGAGTGTCCATAATAGAATATCCACACTATGTCCGCTATTCTAATGTGGAGGGTATGAATGGAATATAATCTAACTCTACCAAAGTGGGACTATGGTTGAAAAATCCATATTCCATCCACATCATCTATACTTCAGGATGATTGTATCTACAGATAACCATTGATGTTGATTCGGTGAATTCATGCGATTGAACCACAAAAAGGCAAAGTACTATGCTTTAAGCCAGCCCAAGAATCGAGATTTAACATGCTTGAACCTGGGGATTCTGAGACATGGGGGATCCCCTTTTTTTAGTCACCATAGGTTTCAACGATCCCATCAACGAAAGCATGGTTTAAAAGGTGATTTCCACATACTTGGACCATTTAGGGGGTGTTTAGTATTGGGGGCAGGGGATGAACCATTGATAGCATCAATAATCATTCGTAGCCATAACCATTGATAACTCAGTATCAATTACATAAATGATTAACGCTTGAACAACCATTATCAGTCACTATCAGTCACTATAACCACTATTAACCACTATTAACCATTATTAACCACTATTAGCCACTATTAACCACTATTAATCACTATCAATCACTGTTAACCAACCACTATCAACCACCATTAACCGCTATTAACCACTATTAGCCACTATGAACCTTTATCAACCACCATTAACCACTATTGCCCACTATTAACCTTTATTAACCAGTATTACCCACTATTAACCACTATTAACCACTATTATCCATCATCAACCACCATTAACCACTATTAACCACTATTATTATCCATTATTACCTATTACTAACCATTATCAACCACGAAGTGGCGTGGATTTGGGGGGTACCCCCAGGACACCTCCAGCCGGATCTAGTTCGTCAGTTGGGGGTACTATTCCCAATATGATGGGAAAGTCATAAAAGCCATGTTCCAAACCACCAACCAGTGATGATTTACCCTCTGGTTATGACTAACATAGCCATGGTATAGATGGCCCATTTATACAGTAGATGGTTTACCATGGTTTACCTATTAAAAATGGTGATTTTCCATAGATATCTCTGGCCAAATTATATACAATGCTCTGTGCGTCAACGTCTCGCTATCGTTTGGGGGCCTCGACATTGCAAGGTTAGTAGGATCTTCCCAAAAGTGCTAAATCTGGGTAAATTATAATACGCTAACATGAAACTTGCGGCCATTTTGGGATGATTCCCCTTATGAACAATGATTCCAGGGCTCGGGAGAACAGGGTTCGGTAGTTACACTTGGCCCAGATATCTCATCAACTAAAATTAGGATAAAAATTGATAAAAATTGATAAAAATGGATCAACCCAGATTGCTTTGTCTTTGAAGAGGGGCAACAACTGTTGGGGGCACCACATTGTTTGGAGATTTAAGCAAGAAGAGAATGTGGGCCCCACAAATCTGCTTTGATGCTTTGATCGATGTTGGTTGATGGGTAGGAGCCTTAAAATTCTTATGTCATTCGCAAAAAAGCACTGCTTGCGCAAGATCATATTCCCAAGTGCGACTCTAATGGTCAGAGGCTAAAGTTTTTTGGGATTTCTGAAATCATGAGCCAATACTACCAATCATTCATTACTGGATTGGCCGTTGCAAGAACCTTTGAGTGCCTTTGATTACAGTACTTGCAAAAGTTCATTTTCAACTTACTGCCTCCAGCTATATCTATGGATTGTGTATAAACATATTGTGGATGGAAGAAATCCTGCACCAGTTGCTAAATGTTTAGCCCACTATAATCCCATTATCTACAGTGTTTCATAGTCACCAATAGTGACCAAAGTGCTGCAGCATTTTGTCCACAGCATGATCAATGATAACCAGGTCAACCATTGATTCAAAGGTCTTGGAGCCTGTCATCTGTTGGCTGTTCCCCTTTCCATGCTTAGATCGCAAGTCCCCAATTTTTTCAGCTACGGCAATTGGCTGAGTTCAACACTTTCACGCGTTCCAAATGATTTCGAAAAAATTGGGTCCCCGGTCCCCATTCAACCATTGGCTTCCCCATTAAAAACGAGCCATTGTTAGATCAAATGTTGCGTTCCCCATGACTTATGGTAACCACCATCCAGTGATGACATGCTCAAGTCCAGTCATTCAAGAAGGCCTGTGTCGGCGTGTCGTGCAACTTTTTTTGAAGCTCTTCATTCTCCTTCTTCTGTTTTTCCAGTTCCGCCTGAGTCAGGAAGTTTCCGGTCAAAAAAAGGAGTCTTCAAAAAGAGAACACTTCTCTGGCAGAGGGGCATAACGAGTTTCGAAAATGGCATACCCTCTGGTAATTTAACGTAGCTATTGAAAATGGCCATTTATAGTTGATTTACCCATTAAAGATGGGGATTTTCCATAGCTGTGGTAGTTTACCAGAGGGTAACTAATCCAGTATGGCCCCCGGTCTCAGAATTATAAAGGTACCGACTTTGGCATTGATGATCCTTTGATCAAAGTTTACCACCAGTTTACCACCAGTACCTCACCGCAACATCCCCATCCTTGCTGGCTAAAACCAACAAAAAAGCACCATGATCTTGGCTAAATCCCATATTTCTCCAATTTTAATCTGCTCTTCCCAGCTACGAGTCATATATTAGTATGGGCATCCACTATTTTCCCATATTTCTCCCATTTTAACCATGTTGTGTTTGCTATCAATTTGAGTTCTTTGACTTCAAATTGTACATACAGTATGGTCATCCCAAGCACATTTCCCATATTTTCCCATATTTTCCCATATTTCTCCTGTTTGAGTTATAAATCAATAATATGTCCTTGTGGGAAAAAAAAAAAGGGGCCGGGCCGGGAGCTGGTTAATCCCCTATCTCAAACTTCTGTTGTTGAAGGGGTCTGAAGAAACCCCTCTATTTTGCTCAACCAACCAGTGGGAAAAGGACGTAAAACAGTGATTAATCTTGAGTAGTACCATTTATACCATGTCCATTATCTGATAATTTGATATATAATGATATACCTGAAGAAACCCCTCTATTTTGCTCAACCAACCAGTGTGAAAAGGACATCTATGGTAAGCATGAAGTAAAACAGTGATTAATCTTGAGTAGTACCATTTATACCATGTCCATTATCTGATAATTTGATATATAATGATATATAAATGGTTAAATATGGTACCAGTCATTGATTTAATATAATAATCATTGATATATTCAATCAAGTATGAGAATTTGATGAAATTGTTAAATATAAAACATGATATATGTCGATTATTTGACGAGTACCATGGTACTTTGAGTCATTTAGATCAATGGTGATTTGAGCAATTATTCCAATGAACCTGGTAGTTGAGTGAGAAAAATGGCGAGTTTTTGGGATTTAAAGGGATTTCATGGTGAGTGATTAAATATGGTAACCCTCCATTTAGTTCGGGGATCTTCAGGAAATCCTCATGCACGTCGATTGACCCAACCGTGGCTCCCGCTGGGAGCATAAGCCAAGATATACCAGCTATGGCCCCCTAACAGTCATAGATGGGATCGTAACTCGTGTAACTAAGGTTATATAATAATAATAATATATTATTATTATTATACATACATATGATTATATGTATATATATAATTGTATGCATATATATATATATATGTATCATTATAAGCCAGTTACAGCTGTTAAGGGCTATAACTGCTAGAACTGTAGTACTGCAACTGGATGAATTCTGGAGTCCATATAGCGATATCCGACAAATACTAAGCATTACAAAGATATACCTCAGTCATCAACTGGATGAATTGACGCTGATCATCACAAATGAAAAAATAAACACCAATATGCCGAGTGGATATATCGAAAACCACGATGATAGACAAACCCACTTGGTTTTATAATTTCTATATACCAATGGCGATATATCAACCACGATGTCAGATTAACAACAAAATGACATCTTGGTTTTCTGAAGCCAGTTTTTTGCTGGTTGGTCGTGCAATAACCATCTTGAAAAATATGAGTTCGTCAATGGGGTTGGGATGACATCCCATATATGAAATGGAAGATAAAAGCCATGTTTGAAACCACCAACCAGTGATTATCAACCATTATTAACCATGATTAACAATCATTACCCCATACTAAACCAATGTTTGAAACCACCAACCACTTTGGGTTCGCGTTTGCGTTCGCATCTTTTCCTGGCCTGCAGTGCAGCCGCTTGAAGCTGCTGCTGCTCCATTTCGGCCTCATGGATCCCCCGTCACCGTTGTGTTGAAAACAATACGAAGATGATCTAAGGAGTTGGATGATGACTGGGGCACCCATGACTTTTCGGAAACCATAACCTGATATAACCTGTGTGTTTTCAGATCTGAAGATGGGAAGATTGTAATTGATTCAAAACATCAATTGACGCGCTTGTGCAATTGCACGGTGCATGCATGGTACATAGCCGCTAAGCACCTTGGTTTCAGTGATACAAAGATGCTTTATCCCACCAGAGTTGGATCAGAGTTGGGGACCTTTTTTGGAAACCAAACTGCTGGGCTTGGATCCGTTGGATCATCTACCCATCCATTTGTAGAAATGTGCCACGAAGCAAACCCATCTGTTTTTTGATACTTGTTGCAGATATAAAACCAACTTTACTGTCTGCGGACACCACAGACAGTAGAACGCAAAAAAATGGCAAGAAACCAGCCTGCATTGCAGAGGCTTCCTGCAGTTTCTTCTGCAAGTCTTCGGTCTCTTCTCTTTTCTTTGCGACCTCTTCCTCCCACAACATAAGCCACTTAAGTAGCTGGCAACATATTGGATAAGAGGAAACTTCAGTGCAGTGCTTCACATCTTTCCAAATCGATGCCAGCTTGCTATTCTTGCAAAAAGGAGACATCGTGTCTCAAGATACGCATCCGAAGAAAGCGGCTGACAAGTGGGACATTCAAAGAGACCCTTGCACATGACACTGCACATGTGTCCCATGGGTCCTGCAGTGCAGCAGTTTCTTGCAGCTTCTTCTGCAATTCTTCGTTCTTCTGCTTCTGCTGCTCCATTTCTGCCTTCAAGCTACCAGTACTCAGTGCTGTGCACAGAAGTTTTGAAACACGACTATCTCAAAAGGTTTGACTTTCAAACTCTCAGAACTGCATTCAAGTTACAGTATCTACCCAGAGTTCATGGATTTAGACTGAAACGCTTTGACAAGACCTGTAAGTTGTCCATACTTTCCATACTGCATAATTATGCAGCTGGAATGCGAACTGATATTATCCAACCGCATCAATGGCAAGAAACCAGCCTGCATTGCAGAGGCTTCCTGCAGTTTCTTCTGCAAGTCTTCGGTCTCTTCTCTTTTCTTTGCGACCTCTTCCTCCCACAACATAAGCCACTTAAGTAGCTGGCAACATATTGGATAAGAGGAAACTTCAGTGCAGTGCTTCACATCTTTCCAAATCGATGCCAGCTTGCTATTCTTGCAAAAAGGAGACATCGTGTCTCAAGATACGCATCCGAAGAAAGCGGCTGACAAGTGGGACATTCAAAGAGACCCCTGCACATGACACTGCACATGTGTCCCATGGGTCCTGCAGTGCAGCAGTTTCTTGCAGCTTCTTCTGCAATTCTTCGTTCTTCTGCTTCTGCTGCTCCATTTCTGCCTTCAAGCTACCAGTACTCAGTGCTGTGTACAGAAGTTTTGAAACACGACTATCTCAAAAGGTTTGACTTTCAAACTCTCAGAACTGCATTCAAGTTACAGTATCTACCCAGAGTTCATGGATTTAGACTGAAACGCTTTGACAAGACCTGTAAGTTGTCCATACTGTCCATACTGCATAATTATGCAGCTGGAATGCGAACTGATATTATCCAACCGCATCAATGGCAAGAAACCAGCCTGCATTGCAGAGGCTTCCTGCAGTTTCTTCTGCAAGTCTTCGGTCTCTTCTCTTTTCTTTGCGACCTCTTCCTCCCACAACATAAGCCACTTAAGTAGCTGGCAACATATTGGATAAGAGGAAACTTCAGTGCAGTGCTTCACATCTTTCCAAATCGATGCCAGCTTGCTATTCTTGCAAAAAGGAGACATCGTGTCTCAAGATACGCATCCGAAGAAAGCGGCTGACAAGTGGGACATTCAAAGAGACCCCTGCACATGACACTGCACATGTGTCCCATGGGTCCTGCAGTGCAGCAGTTTCTTGCAGCTTCTTCTGCAATTCTTCGTTCTTCTGCTTCTGCTGCTCCATTTCTGCCTTCAAGCTACCAGTACTCAGTGCTGTGTACAGAAGTTTTGAAACACGACTATCTCAAAAGGTTTGACTTTCAAACTCTCAGAACTGCATTCAAGTTACAGTATCTACCCAGAGTTCATGGATTTAGACTGAAACGCTTTGACAAGACCTGTAAGTTGTCCATACTGTCCATACTGCATAATTATGCAGCTGGAATGCGAACTGATATTATCCAACCGCATCAATGGCAAGAAACCAGCCTGCATTGCAGAGGCTTCCTGCAGTTTCTTCTGCAAGTCTTCGGTCTCTTCTCTTTTCTTTGCGACCTCTTCCTCCCACAACATAAGCCACTAAGTAGCTGGCAACATATTGGATAAGAGGAAACTTCAGTGCAGTGCTTCACATCTTTCCAAATCGATGCCAGCTTGCTATTCTTGCAAAAAGGAGACATCGTGTCTCAAGATACGCATCCGAAGAAAGCGGCTGACAAGTGGGACATTCAAAGAGACCCTGCACATGACACTGCACATGTGTCCCATGGGTCCTGCAGTGCAGCAGTTTCTTGCAGCTTCTTCTGCAATTCTTCGTTCTTCTGCTTCTGCTGCTCCATTTCTGCCTTCAAGCTACCAGTACTCAGTGCTGTGCACAGAAGTTTTGAAACACGACTATCTCAAAAGGTTTGACTTTCAAACTCTCAGAACTGCATTCAAGTTACAGTATCTACCCAGAGTTCATGGATTTAGACTGAAACGCTTTGACAAGACCTGTAAGTTGTCCATACTTTCCATACTGCATAATTATGCAGCTGGAATGCGAACTGATATTATCCAACCGCATCAATGGCAAGAAACCAGCCTGCATTGCAGAGGCTTCCTGCAGTTTCTTCTGCAAGTCTTCGGTCTCTTCTCTTTTCTTTGCGACCTCTTCCTCCCACAACATAAGCCACTTAAGTAGCTGGCAACATATTGGATAAGAGGAAACTTCAGTGCAGTGCTTCACATCTTTCCAAATCGATGCCAGCTTGCTATTCTTGCAAAAAGGAGACATCGTGTCTCAAGATACGCATCCGAAGAAAGCGGCTGACAAGTGGGACATTCAAAGAGACCCCTGCACATGACACTGCACATGTGTCCCATGGGTCCTGCAGTGCAGCAGTTTCTTGCAGCTTCTTCTGCAATTCTTCGTTCTTCTGCTTCTGCTGCTCCATTTCTGCCTTCAAGCTACCAGTACTCAGTGCTGTGTACAGAAGTTTTGAAACACGACTATCTCAAAAGGTTTGACTTTCAAACTCTCAGAACTGCATTCAAGTTACAGTATCTACCCAGAGTTCATGGATTTAGACTGAAACGCTTTGACAAGACCTGTAAGTTGTCCATACTGTCCATACTGCATAATTATGCAGCTGGAATGCGAACTGATATTATCCAACCGCATCAATGGCAAGAAACCAGCCTGCATTGCAGAGGCTTCCTGCAGTTTCTTCTGCAAGTCTTCGGTCTCTTCTCTTTTCTTTGCGACCTCTTCCTCCCACAACATAAGCCACTGAAGTAGCTGGCAATATGTTGGATTGCAACATATTGACACATTGGATTGGGAAGAAGATCATCCTTTGTACCTGTATCTTTCTAGATCGCCAGCTTGCCATTCTTCCAAACGGAGATATGATGCATGATACCTATAAGGTGGTGCCCCTCAGTTGTGTTTATTGCTGTGTAAGCCCACCTAGCAATAGTCACTATAGTCGTAATCTGTTGTTATATGATATGTTGATTATCATCACCTTAAACCTTATATGTTATAATCACAATATCAAACCCTAACCTGGTTGTAAACAAACTAAGCAAACCAACTGGGGCACCACCTTGTAACAGTACATCGTCGTTCTGCAGAACAAGACATAGTGCAAGACGTCCTCGAGAGCAGCAGTTTCTTGCAGTTTCTTCTGCAATTCTTCGTTCTTCTGCTTCTGCTGCTCCATTTCGGCCTGCAAGCTACCAGTACTGTTCAGAGAAGTTTCGAAACACGACTATCTCAAAAGCTTTGACTTTCAAACTCTCAGAACTGCATTCAAGTTATCTACCCAGAGTTCATGGATTTAGACTGAAACGCTTTGACAAGACCTGTAAGTTGTCCATACTGCATATGCAGCTGGAATGAAAAATGAAATTATCCAACCGCGTCAATGGCAGGAAACCAGCCTGCATTGCAGAGGCTTCCTGCAGTTTCTTCTGCAAGTCTTCGGTCTCTTCTCTTTTCTTTGCGACCTCTTCCTCCCACAACATAAGCCACTTAAGTAACTGTTAACATATTGGATAAGAGGAAACTTCAGTGCAGTGCTTCACATCTTTCCAAATCGATGCCAGCTTGCTATTCTTGCAAAAAGGAGACATCGTGTCTCAAGATACGCATCCGAAGAAAGCGGCTGACAAGTGGGACATTCAAAGAGACCCCTGCACATGACACTGCACATGTGTCCCATGGGTCCTGCAGTGCAGCAGTTTCTTGCAGCTTCTTCTGCAATTCTTCGTTCTTCTGCTTCTGCTGCTCCATTTCTGCCTGCACGTTTCCACTACATAGTGTTCATGGCAGTTTGAAAGCAAGAGTTTCAGAAATGGTTTCGGCTTTGAAACTTTCAGATTTCACTGCGCTTCTTGACACAAAGACTTTAAGCATCTTTAAGCATAAAATCCATGCAGCATGCAGTATCCAAACGGCATTTGCATTTTGCACCAGACGTTGACTTCACTTATGCAAACAATTGACATTAAGAGGAAGATGGGACACGACCCGTCAAATTGTTCATACTGTATATTCCGCTGGAACGAAAAATGAAATTATCCAACCGCATCAATGGCAGGAAACCAGCCTGCATTGCAGAGGCTTCCTGCAGTTTCTTCTGCAAGTCTTCGGTCTCTTCTCTTTTCTTTGCGACCTCTTCCTCCCACAACATAAGCCACTTAAGTAGCTGTTAACATATTGGATAAGAGGAAACTTCAGTGCAGTGCTTCACATCTTTCCAAATCGATGCCAGCTTGCTATTCTTGCAAAAAGGAGACATCGTGTCTCAAGATACGCATCCGAAGAAAGCGGCTGACAAGTGGGACATTCAAAGAGGCCCCTGCACATGACACTGCACATGTGTCCCATGGGTCCTGCAGCGCAGCAGTTTCTTGCAGTTTCTTCTGCAATTCTTCGTTCTTCTGCTTCTGCTGCTCCATTTCTGCCTGCACGTTTCCACTACATAGTGTTCATGGCAGTTTGAAAGCAAGAGTTTCAGAAATGGTTTTGGCTTTGAAACTTTCAGATTTCACTGCGCTTCTTGACACAAAGACTTTAAGCATCTTTAAGCATAAAATCCATGCAGCATGCAGTATCCAAACGGCATTTGCATTTTGCACCAGACGTTGACTTCACTTATGCAAACAATTGACATTAAGAGGAAGATGGGACACGACCCTTCAAATTGTTCATACTGTATATTCCGCTGGAATGAACAATGAAATTATCCAGCCGCATCAATGGCAAGAAACCAGCCTGCATTGCAGAGGCTTCCTGCAGTTTCTTCTGCAAGTCTTCGGTCTCTTCTCTTTTCTTTGCGACCTCTTCCTCCCACAACATAAGCCACTTAAGTAACTGTTAACATATTGGATAAGAGGAAACTTCAGTGCAGTGCTTCACATCTTTCCAAATCGATGCCAGCTTGCTATTCTTCCGAAGAAAGTGCAACAACCGAAAGGACTGTGCCACACCCAGCAAACCCCGCATGCACCTGCTCCTGCTGTTCATGAACTACAAGACTTTGCTGGACCCCATCGGCAATCACTTTTGCTGCTCCATCTTGTTTCTCTCTCATCTCTTTCACTTCCTTGCGGGCAACTTTGCCTCTGTAAACGGCTTGCATCTTGGTGATTGCTTTCAGCTTTTCTTGCTTTTCAAGGTCCGCTTGTTTGCGTGCATCTTTGCCACGTTTGATTGCTTGAATCTTTGTGGCCGCCTCTTCTTGTTGCTCCTTCATCTCTTTCACTTCCTTGCGGGCAACTTTGCCTCTGTAAACGGCTTGAACCTTTGTAATTGCTTTCAGCTTTTCTTGCTTTTCAAGGTCCGCTTGCTTGCGAGCATCTTTGCCACGTTTGATTGCTTGAATCTTTGTGGCCGCCTCTTCTTGTTGCTCTCTCATCTCTTTCACTTCCTTGCGGGTAACTTTGCCTCTGTAAACGGCTTGCATCTTGGTGATTGCTTTCAGCTTTTCTTGCTTTTCAAGGTCCGCTTGTTTGCGTGCATCTTTGCCACGTTTGATTGCTTGAATCTTTGTGGCCGCCTCTTCTTGTTGCTCTCTCATCTCTTTCACTTCCTTGCGGGTAACTTTGCCTCTGTAAACGGCTTGCACCTTTGTAATTGCTTTCAGCTTTTCTTGCTTTTCAAGGTCCGCTTGCTTGCGAGCATCTTTGCCACGTTTGATTGCTTGAATCTTTGTGGCCGCCTCTTCTTGTTGCTCTCTCATCTCTTTCACGTCCTTGCGGGCAACTTTGCCTCTGTAAACGGCTTGCATCTTGGTGATTGCTTTCAGCTTTTCTTGCTTTTCAAGGTCCGCTTGTTTGCGCGCATCTTTGCCACGTTTGATTGCTTGAATCTTTGTGGCCGCCTCTTCTTGTTGCTCCTTCATCTCTTTCACTTCCTTGCGGGCAACTTTGCCTCTGTAAACGGCTTGCATCTTGGTGATTGCTTTCAGCTTTTCTTGCTTTTCAAGGTCCGCTTGTTTGCGTGCATCTTTGCCACGTTTGATTGCTTGAATCTTTGTGGCCGCCTCTTCTTGTTGCTCCTTCATCTCTTTCACTTCCTTGCGGGTAACTTTGCCTCTGTAAACGGCTTGCATCTTGGTGATTGCTTTCAGCTTTTCTTGCTTTTCAAGGTCCGCTTGTTTGCGCGCATCTTTGCCACGTTTGATTGCTTGAATCTTTGTGGCCGCCTCTTCTTGTTGCTCTCTCATCTCTTTCACGTCCTTGCGGGTAACTTTGCCTCTGTAAACGGCTTGCATCTTGGTGATTGCTTTCAGCTTCTCTTGCTTTTCAAGGTCCGCTTGTTTGCGCGCATCTTTGCCACGTTTGATTGCTTGGATCTTTGTGGCCGCCTCTTCTTGTTGCTCTCTCATCTGTTTCACGTCCTTGCGGGCAACTTTGCCTCTGTAAACGGCTTGCATCTTGGTGATTGCTTTCAGCTTTTCTTGCTTCTCAACGTCTGCTTGTTTGCGTGCATCTTTGCCACGCTTGATTGATTGAATCCTTGAAAGATGCGGTGAACAGAATGAAGCTTCTAGACCAAGAGTACAAAGAATGGTGTGTTCCGACTTTGATTGATTGTTAAACAAAGATATTTTACCCAAGGATCCCCGCAAAAAGGTTGGTTTTACAAGATTTCTTGTTGAAAAAAACACTCATACAAATGACCAAAGTGCCCGATTTTACATACCATCATCCATCATCCATCACTATTAAACACCTTCTTTGGTTGGTTCAAACTTGTCAAATTTCACTCAAGGATCCATTGACGGTCCATAGCACTCTATCAGGGTTTTGTCCATTGCTCCCTTGGGTAGTCAAACGTGGCAATTGGAAATCACTTATATATGTGGATTTTAAATGATGTTCATGGGAAAATCCTCCAAAAAAATGGGAGAAAACCTCGGTTGGGAGAAAACCTCGGTTGCCACCTGGCAGATTGTCAAAAAGCTGGTCATCCATGCCGATTCCATCAGATTCGGTTTTCAATCCCCCAGCGATTTTCCAATGGGGGAGATATCAAGGAGCCATGAAAACCAGGCTTTTTTCTACCCTCTGCAGTAGCGGTTAAAAAGCCATCTTGAAGTCATGGCCATTTACTAATGGTTAATATGATTGTAATGGCTAATGATTGTCAGTAATGGTTAGTAATGGTGATTGATGGAATATACCCGGCCTGGTAAACGTTTACAGTTTGCGACATTGAAGCCATGGCCCAGTCGAAATAGTGGATTTACCCATTATATAATAGCATGGTGATGTTCCCTCGTTTTTTGTTAACGTTTACCAGGCCGGGTAGTTGATCCCTCAATTCGATGATTGTCATATTGTCATAGCCTCCGAATGTGTAGTTTACCCATGGATCTTCAAAGTTTACCCATGAAATATCTCATTTGATTGGTACAAAGATTGATGAAGAATTGCAAAATCCCATGAAAGTCCCATGAAATGAAACCAGGATTTTTTCCATAGCAAGGATCATCAATCCACCAACTAATTATGTTCCAAAAGCTATTTATACCCACCACTTACCATTGGATTGAATAACAATTGGATATCACTGATATGTCATTCTGTATATATCCAATGCCTAATATGTGTGTTCTCCATGGCAAGTGATTATGTCGTCGCAACCCTCGATCAGTGGTAGATGTTTAACATGAAAAATCTATTAACTATTAGACTATTAGATAACGATATTATCATATTACATGAAAATCCCAATATTGATGAAGAATACACTGTTCCATATGGAATACATATATTATATATATATACGTATATCATATCCCATGAAATGAAACCAGGATTTTTCCATACCAAGGATCATCAACCCCACTATTTTCCATACCAAGAATCAATCCACAAACTATTTTCCAATGGTTATGTTACATCATATCCTACGATTTTGAACATACCAAGAATCTTCGTGGCCGCCTCTTCTCTTGCCCTCTTCTCCTTTCGAACCTTCTCGCGGTCCTTGTTCCCGCGGAAATTCGCTTGGACCTTCGTTGCAGCCGCATTCATCTCCTGACACAAAAAAGGCCGGGTGGAACTGGGGTGGTGTTAATCAAAAATTGCTATATAATTCATTGGGATTTCATGGGGAGTTAATGGTGATTTAATGGTGATTTAACTTGGATTCATTGGTGATTTGCTGGGATTTAATTGGGATTTATTGCGATTTAATTGGGATTTAAATCTAATGGTGATTTATCTATTGGGATTTAATGGTGTTGAATGGGGATATACCCTCTGGTAATTTAACATAGCTATGGAAAATGGATGAACATGGCCCATTTAGTTCGGTGATCTGCCTATAAAAAATGGTAAAGTTCAAAAGCTGCGTTAAATTACCAGAAGGTATTTAATTGGCGAAGTGACGTGTTTTACCAGCAAATATACTAGCAAAGAAGTGGATTTTGTGTGATTTAAATGGCACATATGATAGTTTAGTGGGATCTACCCAACAACTATGGTGATTAACTAACGGGAATTATAAGAATCATGGAGAAGTTAACCAACAAGAATGGGTTTTTGAGACCTACCATTTTATGGGGATCTATGGGGACTTTTGCATTGCAAATAGGGTGCCTTTTGGGGCTTTTTTGGGACTTCATCAACAAACATACCCGCTGGTAAACGTTTGCAGTTTGCGACATAGAACATGGCCATAGAAATAGTGGATTTACCCATTAAAAATGATGATTTTCCCGAGTTATGTTAGTTTACCAGGCCGGGTAGGTTGTAAAACAGACACAAGTCCGATAAGAATTTTAGGGAATTCACTGGAAATATCTACAGCATAGTTCATTGGGGTTCCAAAGTGCCAAATTATGCCTCGCCAGAGCCCATGTTGGCCCCTGGTGATGGTTGGGGGATCGGGGGCATACTCTGCAGATTTTTGGGGCCGTCCGATTGATGGCCATGAAAAATGCCAATTTTCTTCAGGCAGAAAATGAGGATCGAAGAAATCATGAATTTCTAGGGCATATGTTCAGACAAATCCGTATTGCAATGGATACCCTCTGGTAAACTAACATAACTATGGAAAATCACCAGTTTTAATGGGTAAATCAACTATAAATGACCATTTTCAATAGCAAACTGTTAGTTTACCAGAGGGTATCCATCCTCTTGACTTCGTAAACAATTTGCAATGACTTTCCGCCAGTGAATAGTTCAGTGGGTACATAGGCATATTGTACAGTCCAGGAAGGCGTTGTAAAACCAGTCTATAGGCTGTATCCTAGACAGAAAAGATGTGTCGTTAATGTAGGCAGTATCCTCTTTTCTAGGCTGTATCCTCTTAGGATTTCCAGGAAGTACAGGTTGCAAATCCTTAATATTCAATCATGTGTGAAGATGCCATTGGTATCTGTGGTCCCTTTCCTTGCGATACGACTGTCACGACGGTCACATGTTCCAGGTAAAACGGGCCGTGGAGAGATCTTCTTCCATATTCCAATGATGTTCCAACGTCCCAAGAAAAAAAACAATGATTTGCCAAGTATCCCAGTAGTTGGTGATATTAATTTCCTCCAAGATTTTAAAACCCAAAGACCTCAAATAGAAAAGCTGGTAAATCCCACGATTTAGTCTCCCCATTAGCCAATAAGTCCGGAGTATTCCCACCACACCAGCTACTGGTAAACGTTTGCAGTTTGCGACATAGAAAATGGCCATAGAAATAGTGGATTTACCCATTAATAGCATGGTGATTTTCCCTAGTTATGTAAACGTTTACCAGGCCGGGTAAATTATGAAGTTACATCTCCATGAAAGATTCACCATGCTAAAAAAAATAGGAAAATCAACTATTTCGACTGGGCCATGGCTTCAATGTCGCAAACTGTAACAAATTACCAGGCCGGGTACATTCCCCGTTCTTGCTGGTTATATCCCTAATTCATGATACGGAGGTGTCCTAAAATATCGGTACCCTCAAATCATCCATGTGTTTTTTTGGATTTTCTTGGATCTTCCATACCCCCCAATTTTAGGAAACCCCAATTCATGCCAGCAATACATATTCCAACTATGAAAAATTGGAACGATGAATCCCGCAAGGCGAAACTATGGGGTGTTCCACATGTGTTTAATATTATCCATGGTCCATCTCCATACATTTTACTGAAACTATGGTTTCAATTACTATGGTGTTTAATGATTATTAATGGAAACCTAGTGTTGTTCCACATGTGAATTCAAATTATCCCGTGAATTCCCACTTATCTCATAACAATTCTCGATTCATCGAACGATACCCATCCAAGCTTGACCCTTAATTTAACTACCCTCTGGTGATTCAACATTTCAACATAGCTATGGAAATCACCATGTTTAATAGCTTTAAATATACGTAAATCATCCATAAATGGACCACAAAAAAAGGACCATTTTCCATAGCGAAAAATTACCGGAGGATATTCCATAGCTATTCCACCTATCCCAAACGATGAATTCACGAAGCCCTATTCCAATGAATAGATGACTGGTTGGACTGGTGCAATTTCACCATCTTGAAAAATATGAAAATCTATGGAAAATCTATGGTTAATGGAAAATCTATGATTAAGGGAAAACTGGTTGGACTGATGCAATTTCACCATCTTGAAAAATGATGGGTTGTGAAAGTCAATGGGGTTGGGATGACATCCCATATATGAAATGGAAAATTATATAAAAATATTTGAAACCACCAACCAGATGATATTCATCCCATGTATTTATGTTCTTTCCCTGTTATTAAAAACCGATGTTCCAATGATAAATGTCATCCAGTTCTGAACAAATTCTCGCGACTTATCCGTGTCGACCGTGTCGAAAGTGACGATAGCGACTCGCCTGCTTTTTCTTCTCCACTTCTTTTCGTTCCACTTGTCCTCGGCGCGACGCTTGGATCTTCAGAGACGCTTTCTTCTCACCTGCGCAATGTGAGGCCCATGTCGACAGCAAAGATTGTTTATAGCTACAAGATATAATAAGATATAATAAGAATGGTTTATGATACTTATAACTACGTTTTTTAACTATGGTTTTTCATACTTATAACTACGGAGTAATACGCAACTTATAACTTGGGGCTAGCCTTAAAAAACCTTTTTGGGGATGCCGCACAGGATGGTGCCACCCAGTGATGTGAACGTTGGTTGAACAAAAAAACATTTCACTATGGTTTATGATACGTTATCAAATGTTTTATAAATGTTTGTAAACACCATGAAAACTAGTTCGTTGTTTATTTAAGCGTATCATAAACCGTAGTGAAATTGGAATGATTAGTGGCCCCCAACTGAACGCTATCATAAACGGGGGCCCCACTTTATATCACCGTAGCTACAACCTAGTTACGATTCGTGTGATGAGCCACCAAGTAGCTCTTGGGGAATCTAGTTTGGCCATGGTGGTTACCCATGAAAACCAGGGAAATAAAGCAAAATCAGGACTTGTAAGTGAAGAATCACTGGGTGCCAGCTCTTTTCATCGAAATATCAGCCATAAGACTTTTTTACATTCATACCTGGACTATTCTCCTGGATTATTCATACCTGTCACGACCATTTGTTTGTTCCACAACTTCTGATGCCCAACCTTAGAGAGCCTCAATGTTCTCTGGTTGGTGGTTGACCTACCCCCCTGAAAAATATGAGTTCGTCAGTTGGGGTTATGACATTCCCAATATGATGGAAAAAAATTAACCCTTAAAAAGAGCCTCAATGTTCTCTGGTTGTTGGTTGACCTACCCCTCTGAAAAATATGACTTCGTCAGTTGGGGCTATGAAATTCCCAATATGATGGAAAAAATTTAACCCTTAAAAAGAGCCTCAATGTTCTCTGGTTGGTGGTTGACCTACCCCTCTGAAAAATATGACTTCGTCAGTTGGGGTTCTGAAATTCCCAATATGATGGAAAAAAAATTAACCCTTAAAAAGAGCCTCAATGTTCTCTGGTTGGTGGTTGACCTACCCCTCTGAAAAATATGACTTCTTCAGTTGGGGTTATGAAATTCCCAATATGATAGCAAAAAAAATAACCCTTAAAAAGAGCCTCAATGTTCACTTGGATGGTTAGGTTAAATACATCCCCACTGAAAATGACGACAGGAATTTAAATGGCCGCGACTTTCTGGGGATGAAAAAATCGGTCTCAATGGGATGAAAAATGGTGATGAAAAATGGTGATCTTATGGCCCTGGCCGTTGCTTTTAAGGGATTCACCATAAATGTTGATTTTAAGGGCCCATAATAATCTATAAATGGCTCATATGTTTTTTTTTCTGGTCCATTTATAGATTATTATTAGTGTTAAACATGTTATCTATTCCCCAGCAAACTCTGCCAAATTACCAGAGGCTAACTATAGAGATCATCCAGTTCAACTTTCTTGAAATCAGTCGTAAATCCGATCATTTTCTCCGAAAAGAATCCCAGCAATCGTCATACCCTCTGGTGATGTTTAACAGTTTGCTATTGAAAATGGCTCATTAACAGTTGATTTACCTGTTACAGATGGTGATTTTCCATAGCTATGTTGGTTTACCAGAGGGTAAGTTATTCACATTAAGTCCCATTTTTCATCATCAGTCAAGTTATGCTGAACACTTTTCTAGGTGATTTAATTGGATTGATAGCGATTTTATGGGCTTTTTCATGTAACTCCAACAGGTGATTTGATGGAACTTGATGGTGATGCGTTTCCTTGGATGGTTGCGAAATCCTGCACCAGGCAGGGGGACGATTGGGATTCCTATGAAACATTGGTTTATAATCAATGGCCATTTCAGGAACCTAAATTGGAGGTACTGTATACCTACCATATATAAGGCCTATATAAGGCCTATGAGAATATCCCCAGAAAATATGGCCAAAAATATGGTACTAACGTACCTCCATTTTAGGATCCTGAGTCATTCCCATCGATATGGGATTAGAACGGGAATTTGCCCATCTACCAACTGGTTGTCTGGATTGAAAAATCCACCGTCACCAGCTGAAAAATGAAGCCTCCAAGGGGTTTCCAAGCCTTGCAGTTTCAGTTGAGCCATCTTACTCCTCAATAGTACCTGGGCCAGGGCCCTGGTAGACGGGGCCGGAAAAAAAAAAAACAGGAATTTTGAGGAAAATCGTATGTCTTAGGTTAAAGACTCTTGGGTCCTGATTTTCCTTTCAATCTATAAGATCATCCCAGGATTCGTTGATCCGTGGTACAAATCATCCATGAGGGCTTCTTGATCCGAGCTCAATTCTGTTGGTCAAGTGCCCCCCATTTTTCTGTTTATACTACAGCTTCTATGGGTAAAGTATATCAGAAGCTTTTGTTTCTTGGTTGATTTACCATGATTTACCCCTCGCTTGTGGTTTACCCACAATCATACCCTATGATACCGTAGCTGCTTGACCAAGCTGCCCAGAGATTTGGGGTAAAGATTCCCATCTCCCTTATCAAGATTAGAATATTTTGGCTGGTTGGTGGTGCAATTTCACCATCTTAAAAAATATGAATTCGTCAGTTGGGATGATGACATTCCCAATATATGATGGAAAATAAAAAATGTTTTAAACCACCAACCAGTTTTGGTATACTCTAAATTCCCCTAACCTCAACTGCTTGGTGATATACCTACCCCTCTGAAAAATGATGGACTTCGTCAGTTGGGATGATTCTTCCCAATATATATATATATATATATATGTGGAAAAATAATCCATTCATGTTCCAAACCACCAACCAATAGTTGGTTCAACATCCAAAAACCGGTCGCCTGCAGCACGGGCGCCGCTTCCAGGCACCTTCTCCGGTGTTCTGCCACGCGGCGGCGCGCGGCACGGCCGCGCAAGGCCGCTTGGAGGCGGAGGATGAAGGACAGCTGGCGAAGCTGGGGGATAACAATGATATGATCATGGGGATTATATAGTTTTATAGGATTGATATGGGATTGATATAGGATTGATATGGGATTGATATAGGATTGATATGGGATTGATATAGGATTGATGTGGGATTGATATGGGATTGATATGGGATTGATATAGGATTATACTAATTATATAGTTTATAGGATTGATATGGGATTCTCCAATAACAATCTGGTTGGTGGTGCAATTTCACCATCTTGAAAAATGATGGAGTGAAAGTGAGCTGAGAAGGATGACATCCCATATATGAAATGGAAAATTCAAAATGTTTGAAACCACCAACCAGTATGAGATCTACTGCCCTCTAAACGAACAGTTTGCTGGAAAATCATCATCTTTAAGTTCGGTAAATCAACTATTGCTATGGCCATGGTTTCAATAGCGTTAAATCCAGAAAGTGGTGATGTCATGGGATTTCTTCTGGGATATAAGAAACCAGAAAAACCACGAAAGATGGGATTTGATATAGGTTTATATATATATAAAACCCTCATTTTAGGAAACCTCCATATGGGATCTACTAGTGATTTTTCATTGGATGGGCATATAACCACCAGAAAAAAAAAAAAAAAACTAAATATGGTACTATCTAAATTCGGGACTTCATATGGGACTTTTAATATAGGTTTAGTATGGAAATTGGGGGGATTTCATGGGGATGTAACCACCAAATACGGTGATTTCATGGGCATCACCCGTTGTAGGATTCATTGGGACTTAATCGGGATTCACTGTTGGGATTTAATGGAGATTAATAGTGATAATGGGATTTAATGAAAATTAATGGTAAGGGCGGTTTAATCATGACACAATTAAACAAAAAATAATTTAATTGTGGTCTGCATAGGTTTATTTGGGGTTGAATATTGATTTTCAAGGTTATGTCATGGATGTGGATAGACTTTTATAGACTGTTGATGGTGATTTAATGAATGGGATTTATGTGGAAATTGCAGGATTGAATGGATTTTCATGGGTTTAAGTTGGTTGAATGGCGATTTAATTGGATTTAATCGATATTTAAGTATTAAGCTTTAATGGGATATATAACCAACCAGGTATATATGATAGGCTACATATATATATATATAGCAGGCAACTTGTGAATTGATGGGGCTTCAGCAAGGCGATCATGATTTACTCGGATTAAAACCCAGAAACATGATGATTTGTCATGTCCACTCAGAATCATAGAAACTAAGCTTAAAGATTCATGGTGATTTAATAGTTTTCATAACATGGATTTGCTTAAGGAACCACGAAAAAATGCCAAAAATAGTCCCTTAATTGATTCCCCAGTCGTAGTGGATTTCCCATGGAGAAAATAAAAATTCATCTTCAGCAAAAATCATCTTCAGTCAGTTGGGATGATTATTCCAAATATAATGGGAAAAATAATGCAAATGTTCCAAACCACCAATCAGATAGTTTTCATAAAACAATCATTTATAGATGATCTTCCCATTAAACCTCCATTTATAAAGGATTTTCCATGGCTATGTCAAATAACCAGAGGGTAAAACAATATGTTTCCAATAAAAAAGGGGATTACTGTAGGATTCATCATGACTTATTTTGCAAAACCCCTGATTTTTTACCATAGTTTCACCGGCGGTACATGGATACATTTTGCGAAAAAAATGCTGTGATTATAACATGTGAAATAACCATTCAAGATATGGACATATGGGGATACAAAATTCGGATATCATGCTGGCGCAATGGTTTTTAGAGAAGTTGGGGAGAAAGTATCGAAAACATGAGTCATAGTAATAACACAGAAAACCATTGGTAATTGACGAGTACATCAGTTAGGTGGCTAGGCAGCCACTGTGAAAACCAATAGTTTGTTCCAATTCTCAGTCCATGCTTTGAGTGGATTAACCGTCAGTGAGATAGTTGAGACTTAGATGGGCTATGATTAGTTAGTTACCCTCTGGTAATTTGTTACGTAGCTATTGAAAATTGCCATAGAAATAGTTGATTTTCCCATTAAAAATTTGCATTTTCAATAGCTATGTTAAATTACGAGAGGGTAACTGGTCAGCATTCTCAAAGCTAACTTTGTCTATAACGGATTAGTTCGCCTACAAACACCATTTAAGCAAGTAACGCCCGTCTAAGCGATGTTGAGTTAAAAAAACATTTTAAAAAAAAAACTGGGAGTTGATAGCTTCAAGCAAGAAAAAATGAAGATCAACAATAGGGTGTCACTGGTGATGTGAAGCTAAAGAGGGAATCAGTTGGATGAGCATTTTGGGCAATGTGAAGCTTTTGGAGTGTCCAAAATTGATGGGTTTAAGCAACAAGAAGTGGCATAAAACAAGAATGGAGCTTAAATCCCACTAGTCTACACTAAAAACACATAAAACACATTACATTCCACGTTCCACTACACATTCCATGGTTTTTACACATTGAAAAGAAAAAAACATAAAACATTGCACCTTGCATTCAACACACTCCATGTAGTGACACATGACACAACCGGTGACATCGACGCAAAACGCAACGCCGCACCTTCCGTCGTTCTTCTTCGTCAATCTGCTGCTGGCGCCATTGCTCCTCAGGTGAATCTGTGGGACCATTGGAATTTAAGATATACATTATATACAGTGTATATATCTTTAATACATAAATATTATATATATATGTGTATGTGTATATGCATATTATTATTTACATATGCATCTGCAAGAATATATATATATATACATTCATATGTATATATATACATTCATATATATATACACATATACACATTCAAATATATATATATATATACATTCATATATAAATATGTATATATATATACATACACATTCATCTATATATATATATATTATGTGGTACTCGCCCAAATGTCCACCGCTTTTGTTTCACATCTGGCGCTTTGGCATTGCATGGTGGTGCCTGCCATGTGTAATTTTTTCATCGCCATCAGTCCGGAGAAGAATCAAACACGGCACCCGAGCCTCCAACACCCGAGCGTTCTTTTGGGGTGCTGAAGTTCACAATTCCATTCAATCACCGTGTTTCTTGGCTTTGTAAATCCATGTAAATCCCATTAACTAAATAACCATACTCCTGCTGAAATTCCATTGAAGAACCATTTTCCTGCCGAAGCCCCATAATATATATATATATCATGTGTTCCGCTGAAACTCCCAAAATTCCAAAAAACACAATGTTTCTTGCCTTAATTCCCATTGAAATGCTCCTGCTGATATTCCAGTGAATCACCATTTTGCTTGATGAAATCACCATTAAATCACCATTTCTGTTGCTTAAATCCTACTAAATGAATATGTTTGCTGGTAAAATCATCCATAAATCACCATGAAATCACCATGTTTCTTGCTTAGATCCGACATGAAATCATCATTTCATCACCATGAAATCACGATTTCTGCTGCTTAGAATCACCATGTGGCAGTGTGTCAAAACCTTGTACCCCTGTAGTTCACATCAAAATAGCTGGGATTTATGGATGTCCATCCCATTAAAAATGGTATCTATAGGTATTGACCCATACCCATGTTGGAATTCCACTGACTTCGAAAAATTCCATGGCCGCTCTCCTTGGCCCGTTGCATGGCCGCCTCCACATGTGCGTCCACACGTTGACCCAGTCGCAACCTGCGGTTTCGTTTTTCACCAGCAAAACGCTGACCATGGTGGTTGAACCAAGAAAAATGGTGGATTTACCGGTGATGTCTTGGAATTTTACCAGATTTACCAGCAAAAATCGTGATTTCATAGGATTGAACTGATTTAACCAACAAAAAAAATCATTTTTATGCTGGTGTATGGGCAATTTACCAGCAAAAATGGTGATTTATTGGTGATTTAACTAAGAACAAATGGTGAACTACTTGGATTTCACGTAGCGAAATGGTTCAAATAGCGAGATTTCGTGAGATAACCCACAATATTCGGATGTTGAACTAACCAACATGGCAGTGTGTCAAAACCTTGTACCCCTGGTGAACATCAAAATAGCTGGTATATGGATGTTCATCCCATTAAAAATTGTCTTAATAGGTATTGATCCATACCCACATGTAGATTTTGCTGGGAATTAACCAACCTTATGAAGGAATTAACCAACAATATTTTGTGATGTTTCATTGGATTTTAACTTAACCAAGAATATTTATGGTGATTTTTCATGGGATCTAAGTTGCTTCTTAAATCCTTCCTCCCTAAGGATGGTAAGACCCATACATGTCTATTCTATTCCCATTCTAATACCATTAATTCCCAGATCTTCCATATGTTGCATAGTAATACTGGGAATAGGAAATATGTTTGGAATACATTAATTCCCATTCTAGTACAGGATGGGGCCCTCCAGTTATAAGTTTGTTTATAACCCCATCTAAATATAGTTATTTGCGTATCATACACTATGGTTATTGTAGTTATAAACCAACTTAGCTAACGAACTGGGGCCCCATCCTGTACAATTAGTTGGAAATACAGGTTTTAAACCTATAATTTCCAGGTGTCCAACTCTTCCGCATATTTTTGCGGTTGCTATACCCTGTTTTCAGACCAAGCCAAATGTATAAAAGTTTGGCAGACATAACTAGCCCAACTGTCGGCCTTATGATAATGAAATAAGCCGGGCCGTTCCGGGGTGGACATTAACCAACAAACATGATGTTTGGGGGCACAACTTTGAATGTAGTATATACAAACACGTATGTCTATCTTATATTATGCATTTTAAGTACGTGTGTGTCAATATGTGTATATATATATATATGTGTGTGTACAGCACTAATGGGTCCCAATTTCAATTAGTATATAAATCATCTTCTATACTCTAGTCTATGGCGAATACAGTTACAACGACTGCTGATACAACCATGAACATCAATTCACCATTCGTGTTGGTTAAATCCCGTGAGAAAAACCATTGACGTATGTTTAAATCCTATCAAAATTAAATCCTATTGAATCCCCACTGTTGGGTAGTGAAATCCCGTTTAATCCTATTAATTTCTCATTAATGTTCCATTAATTTCCCATTACTTTCCCTATGATTTTGTAGTTTCTCATTAATTGTTCATTCATTTCCCAACAATTTCCCATGAATTTCCCACTAATTTTCCCATGAAATCCCATAGTAATGTTCATGAATCTCCCATGAAATTCCATGAAATCCCACTAAACCCCATCAAATCCCATGACTTTCCTATGAATTTCCCATGAATTTCCTAGCAAATCCCATAGAAAAATGCCCATTTTCTCCAGATACCTGAGAACTCCAAATGTATGGAAGTTTTTGCCGGTTTAGGATTTCGGCAGAATTTTCAGATTTCGCTTTTAAAAACGGCTTTCGGCGGAATTCCATCATTGGAGACCAATTTCGGCGGAATTGATTGTTGAATGTTTGCCCCAATAAAGTCAGAAAAAATGTCGGCAGATTTCGGCGGAACTGCCCGCAATTTCGGCGGAATTGCCAGCAATTTCGGCGGAATTACCCGGACTCAGCTTTGGTTATACAAATAAGCACAGCCCATGAAAACCCTATTTCGGCAGAATTGAAAATTGCCGGCAATTTTTTCTGTTTTCGGCAGAAGTTTTAGAATTCAAGCATGTAATTTCGGCAGAAGTTCCCAAAAAGGATTCCCCAGGTATGAACTCACCACCGATTTTCCCACCTGCGGCTGCGGCTAGGAGACTCGGCTTTGCTGGAAGACTTGGACGCCTGGACCCCACTGGTGGCACTGTGGAGATCTTTTGGGGGTTTAACCATAGTAACCGTTGGGTGTTGGTTATACAAAGTGGTGCCCCCAAGATAGCGTTCAGTTGGTTTATAACTCCAAAAACTATGGTTTATGGTACTTATAGCTATAGTTAATGGGGTTTATAAACCAACTTATAACTTGGGGGGCACCACCTTGTAGTAACTTTTGGGTGTGGGTTATAAGTATCATAAACCCTGGTTACTGTACCTATATAAACCAACTTAACTATAGTTTTTTTAGTTACAAGTATCAAAAACCATACTTTGGAGTCCAATAATGTCGTTTTGGTAAAAATCGAAGGGCCGGTTTGGTATACCATCTATCATCAAACCTGCCTGTTGCTAAAGGGGTTTCTTCAAACCCCTCTATTCATCAACCAACCAATGGGAAAAGGAAAAGGACATCCATGGTAAGCATGAAGTAAAATGGTGATTAATCTTGAGTAGTACCATTTATACCATGTCCACTATCTGATAAGTTGATATATATAAATGGTTAAATATGGTACCAGTCATTGATTTAATATAATAATCATTGATATATTCAATCAAGTATGAGAATTTGATGAACTTGTTAAATATCAAATATAATATATATGTATATCCATTATTTGACGAGTACCATGGTACTTTGAGTCATTTAGATCAATGGTGATTTGAGCAATTATTCCAATTATTCCACTGAACCTGGTAGAAAAATGGTGAGTGTTTGGGATTTTTTGATGGATTTCATGGTGAGAAAAATGGTGATTTTACCATGAAAAATTGGATTTATTGATGATTTGACCCAGAAAAATGATGAACTACTGGAGTTTAACCAACAGAAATGGATTTTAATTTGGACTTGATGGGATTGAATGGTGATTTAATGGGATTTAACGAACATTTGAGGTGATTCAATGTGATTTCATGGCTGGCTTATTTATGGTGATTTATTTATGGTGATTTTATGGTTTTTAGCTCCCATAAACAACAATGTCTGCGTGAAAAAAAAGTAACATCCAACAAAAAAAATGATATAAATATAGATATTAGAAAAGGATATTGGCACTAGTATATCCATACCCTATCTTGATTCATGTCTATATCTTTGTGCATGCCTATCGTTCTCCCCCAAAAAGATAGGAACAGAACATCCAAAATGTGAAATTATATATATATATATTGGCTAATTTCAAGAGCAATGCTCTATTGGCTTCCTGGAATCGGTACGGTTGGGCCCAAAGCTGACCCAGGTACGGGTACGTATTTACGGTACGGTGGTGCGGTACGTGGTACGGTATTGTGGTACATGGTACGGTACGTGGTACGGTTGTGGTACGTATTTACGGTACGGTGGTGCGGTACATGGTACGGTACGTGGTACCGTTGTGGTACGTATTTACGGTACGGTGGTGCGGTACATGGTACGGTATTGTGGTACATGGTACGGTACGTGGTACGGTTGTGGTACGTATTTTTGGTACGGTGTTGCGGTTCATGGTACGGTATTGTGTTACATGGTACGGTACGTGCTACGATTGTGGTGCGTATTTTTGGTACGCTCGTGCGGCTCATGGTACGGTATTGTAGTGCGTGGTACGGTACGTGGTACGGTCGTGTTATAAGTTATAAGTTATAAGTATATATCAATTTCTGATAATTCTGATAGTTTTCTGATAGATAAGTCACTTTTTCGAACTTTTAATGGGATGACTCTAGTCTTAAGCACCAACAACCACGTTTTGAAGGACGAATCTTAACTACCAATGGGAGGGTTACAGAAGTTTGGGAGGTTCTGGCCTACATGCACTAAATCCCATTAAATGACCTCAAAATCCCAATCCTACTAAATCACCAGAAAAAAATCCATAAAAAGATCCTATGAAATCACCAGCAAATTCCATTGACTCCAATAAATCCCCATCAAATCCCATTAAAAAATCACCGTTTTTTGTTTCATTTCCAATTGCCTGGCTTCGTCGGGGAGGCTTCACCTGAATTGATGCCAGAGGGACAGGATTGGGAAAACAGCAACTTTGGGGCACACCGCGGCATACCCCATTTTTGGACGAACCCAACTACTACCCTCTGGTAAACATACAAAAAACTATAGACAATCACCATTTTCAATGGGAAAATCCACTATTTCTATGGTCATTTTCAATAGCTATGTTAAATTACCAGAGGGTATTTCTCATGATTTAGAATGTATCGAAATCTTCACATATCTTGCTTGTGTATCATACATTACCCAGTATATACATGTTTGTGCAGACGGACCTTTTACCGGCCCACAAATTGGGGTGGGGTGGGGTGGGGTGGGGTGTGATAGCATTCGTCACTACTGCAAGACATGATGTGATGCTACGCTACGCATTCGTCTCTACTCATGATGTGATGCTACGCTACGCATTCGTCACTACTGCTGCAAGACATGATGTGATGCTACGCTACGCATTCGTCTCTACTGCGAGACATGATGTGATGCTACGCTACGCATTCGTCACTACTGCAAGACATGATGGGAGGCTACGCTACGCATTCGTCACTACTGCAAGACATGATGGGAGGCTACGGTACGCATTCGTCTCTACTGCAAGACATGATGTGATGCTAGGCTACGCACTCGTCTCTACTGCAAGACATGATGGGAGCTACGCTACGCATTCGTCACTACTGCAAGACATGATGGGAGGATACGCTATGCATTCGTCTCTACTGCAAGACATGATGGGAGGCTACGCTACGCGTTCGTCACTACTGCAAGACATGATGGGAGGCTACGCTACGCATTCGTCTCTACTGCAAGACATGATGTGATGCTACGCTACGCATGGGGTGGGGGGGGGGGGGGGGGGGGTGTGATAGCATTCGACTTGCTGACCGCCACTGGCGAAGCTGTAAGATCTCTCATGCGGTGAAGAGAAAAGACCACTTTGTTCGTTCGCCGGGTTTTGAAGCACAAAACCCTGTAAGGGTTGCAAACCACACTAAAACGGATGTTTTTTTTTCATGGTTGTTTCCCACATGAAATCGAGCTGGCGCCACAGCGAAACAAGAATTTTTAAGCAATCATGGGCCGGTGCCAGGTCCGCCGGGATGTTTATCCCCATTACATATATATATATAATCTTATCTTGTTGGCTCTACAGCTTCTATACCCCGTAGTATCCCCTGTAAATCCCCAATCATATCGCCCCCAGATCCCCTGGTGAAGTAGCGGCATTCCCGTGCCTCTGGCTATTAAAAAAATCTTCGAAAATTATGACCTGCCCTAGGGTAGACTAACACTTCCACCATTTGTCGATGACTTTCCGGGTTTCCCCAACGGCTGTTCCACATCGAAACCTTTACCCAAAGGTATCCGTCAGCCCCGTTTGCCATGTTCGATGCCTTCCAGACCTTTCAGACTTACTTCCATATATCAAGGTGAGATGGATGCACTTTATCCCGAAATGGGTTCCGGAAAAATCTATGACGAATCTATGACGAAGTCCCGTTTCGAATCTCAAATTCTTCTGAAATTCCATCAAATCACCATAAAAATCAGCTGGTTCTATACCTACCCCTCGGAAAAATGATGGAGTTCAAGTCAATTGGGATGATTATTCCATTCCCAATAGGAAAAAATCATCCATTCATGTTCCAAACCGCCAACCAATCAGCAAAAAACTCCAGTTTTTCTCACTTCTGGTAGGTGAAATATGGTGAAATCACCCTCAAAATCACCGGATTGGAATGATCCTAACAGATCCCCAGACGCGCCTCCTTCACCGGTGCCGCGCGCGTGACGCGGGGCACCTGTTTTGTTTCAGCGAATTGCAACCGGAAAAAACCCATGGTGATGTCCATGGGAATCTCCTTGAGGTCGAAAAATGGTGATTTCCATGGGGATTTCATGGCTTTATTTTGAGCTTCGATGCGATAGAAAGCCCACAGCATTTTCGACGAACTCAAAGAGTAAAATGGTTTGTTGAACTCACCAAAATGTAGCGAAAAAATCGTGCAACCTTGGACTTAGCCAGACATTCGTGCTGAAACCCGCTATGTGTTGTCGGAAAATCCACATCAGACAGACCACCAGGTAACAGCAGAAGAGACGCCCAGCCCAGCAGGTAGGAACCGCAGACGGCCACGGAAACGAGCCAGACAGGACAAAGCAGGCAGGCAACAGCCAGACAACGCAGGCAAGTTACAGCCAGAGACGCCCAGCCAAGCAGGTAGGAACCACAGACGGCCAAAAACGAGCCGGACAGGACAGCGCAGGCAAGCGACAGCCAGAAACGCGCAAGCCAGCAGGCACGAAGCCCAGACGGCGGGAAACAAGCCAAAAAAAGAAGGAAGAAGCAGAAAGGTAACGACCAGAAAGGCGCAAGCAAGCAGGCACCAGCGGAGGACAGCGGGAAAGAATTGAAAAAAAAAAATGCGTTTCGAAGGCGTTTCACGTCCAGAACCCAAAAGGGATCGAGTTCAGCTCGTTCCGAAAGCGAGGGAAAGTCGGATCCAAAAAGAGCATATTTTTTCATGTTTGCGCTTGACACCTTTTTCCATCATGTTTTACCATTGGTTCCATCATGGAAGGCCATCTTTCCCACCGAAAAAGCTATTGAAAATTGCCATAGAAATAGTTGATTTTCCCATAAAAAATGGTGGTTTTCCATAGTTATGTAGCCTATGTTCAATCAATTCCATCATTGAAGGATCTAAATCTGCCACCCCCACTTGTAACAAAATACCAGGGACTTTCACCTGATTCTGATACCGTATTGAAACCATACCAGTGTTTCCCATCAGCAAACATGAAACAATGCGGTGGTGTCGTTCAAAAACCATCCTAATTTCATCACCCTGTGGTTAGTCTTTCACACCACGAATCGCGTGTGTGGCTTAGTTACGGTTAGTTGTACCCCAGTTACCAGTAGGCTAAGGATATGTAAGGATGCTTACTTCGTCCACATTTATATATACCCTCTGGTAAACGTTTACATAACTATGGAAAATCACCATGCATTTTTCATGGGAAATCAACTATTTCAACTGGGCCATTTCCTATGTCGCAAACTGTAAACGTTTACCAGGCCGGGTAACACATTTACTGGGGTGAACATGAAAAATGGTGATCGGCTACATCTGCTGATTCCCCATGGCACCAAAGATGCTCCCATTTCAAGTGGTTCCCTACCACTCTTGTCAAGACGCACGGCACGTATAGCCTATACTGGTTGGTGGTGCAATAACCATCTTGAAAAATATTAGTCACTGGGAAGGATTATCCCATATATTATGGAAAATAAAAAAATGTTCCATACCACCAACCAGTATATCTTTTATTCAATCTCATGTTTGCACCACTTTTCACCGTTTCTATACTCAGTTTTGTAGGTCGAAGGTGAAAATACGCATCGTTTGTTCGAACGTCTATGCCTTGTATCACCAAATGCCGATTGAATTCTATTTTTATAGCCGAAATTCGCTAGTTTGCCGGTTGTGTCTAAAAATGGGATACCATAATACAATTAAAATGGGGGCTACCCCTAAATCATCCATTTTAGATTGGGACTGTCCATTGTAAACCAACCAGCAATTGGGGTACCCCCATTTACGGAACCCCCCATATGGAAATCTGCTTGATGGCCCACTCCCCCCTGGATGCACCTTTGTTCCCAGTGCATCGCTCTGCACGGAGTTTCCTTCCGATTTTCTCAGAACAAAAAATGATCGTTGCGTGAAATTCAACCAACGAAAGTACGGGGTAAAACATAGGATAGTCATTTCACTAACTCCATGGCACATCTAAGTTTGTTGGTGATTGAACAGGGGTTGGTACATGTCCTAATTATACATCACCCAACTATTGGGGATATAATCTCGAACAAATACTCGAAGGTGATGTTCAAAATCCCCAAAAAGGGACATTTACCAACCATTACCAACCCCTATTGAATGCAAGTGAAATATAACTAAATGGTGTTTAACCAGAAAAAAATTGAAGTATACTGGAATTCAATGGTGGCGACAGCGGAATTTGGAAAACAGGTCCAACATTGCTGTATATATTCATCACGGGTCAAAAAGATTCAAAAAGTCGAAATCTGATGTCCTCAGCAATTGCTGTTCAGAAACTATGGAAAACGGGAAAGATTTTGGACCATCAGTGAATTACCCTCTGGTAAACGTTTACATAACGAACTGGAACATCACCATGCATTTTGCATGGGAAAACTCACTATTTCTAGGGGCATTTTCTATGTCGCAAACTGCAAACGTTTACCAGGCCGGGTAGCCAACATCCAGGAAATGCACCTAAACGATGATCTCAATGAATTGAAGGTGTCTCTGTGAAGTGTGGCAGCATTGCAAGTTAGTAATATGTCAACCCCGGATGAAACTAAACCATGACAATTAGGGGGGGTACTCCAATAGACATATTAATCTAATACTTTTTTATGGCACCCTCCCAATTAAACAGCCGCTTGGGGTTATTCATCCAGGATTGACAAATTATCACTGATCAGTCACCGACATGTTCCGTTGATCTGTTCATATCTGTTCAATCTTTGCCAGTTTCTCTGTGCAAATCCCACCGGACATCTGCAGCGCTCCACCAAAAGTGGCGGATTTTGCCCAAAATATGGCGATGATTGGTCGCCTGGAGCACGCCTGTGAAAATATCCTCATATGTTGCTTCGTATCCTCATATCATGGACATGATCTGTAGAGGATTTTTCATGGCATTGGAATAACGATATATAACGATATATAACGGGATATGGGATATAATGAGATACAATGGGAATATACGTGGTAAACCGTTTATGTCATAAAAACCATCCCACAAACCAACCATGACATGACTGTCATGGGTTTTTTTTCCATCGGACGATACGAGTACCGTATGCGATTTGTCCAGTTTCATAAACCGAACAAAGATTTCCGACATGACCTATGACCTCACATCAACCATCCCACATAGATATATTCATAAACCAGATGAATACCTTAGATCTATGGGAATATTAACCATAAACATCCATAAACCAGATGATATTTCCATATAACCAGATGAGTTCAATGAATACCTATCTCATGTTCATCCCACAAAAAGGTTATTCATCTGGTGCCACCAGGGAGATCCCAGCAACCGGCTCGCTCGAACGAGTGACCGGGGATCTGCCGGCTCGGCAGTCCCGTGAAATCCATGAAATTCCCATGAAAGATGAATTCAGAGGGGAAACTTATATGATTTACATGAATTTCCCATAAAATCCCATGAATTTTTCCCATGATTTCCAGAGGATACACAACTCACCCAGCAGGATTCGCGCATCCTCGCGAGTGCACCGCTGGGCTGCCCCAAACCTCCATGGGACGTCTGGCAGTCCCATCAAAAGTGGGTGATGATTCACCAGTGGAGCCCAATAGTGAAACCGAAAATGGAAAAGCCACGTTTAATGGGTTGAGCCTCTATGCTGAATTCTATGGTTTATAGTAGATATAACGAACTAGTTAATGGGATTATAAACCAATTTATAACTTATGACTGGTTGGTGGTATCTGGTGGTTGAGCCCTACCCCTCTGAAAAATGATGGACTTCGTCAGTGGGGTTACGACATTCCCAATATGATGGGAAACATAATCCATTCATGTTCCAAACCACCAAATGGAAAATGGTGAACATGTAGCATCAAGTGAAAATGAGCTTTGGGCTCCACTTGTGAGTTTCCCAGAAACATTTTTTTGGGTCCACCAAATTTTGATAAGGCCCCAGCCAGAACCCAAAAATCCCCCCGAAATCTCCCAACATCGATCTGGGGTGAAGCGCCCGGACCGCCTCTTCTACCATTGCCTCTTGGACATTGGAGCTCCCATCCTGCTCCTGCCGTCTGTGAGTTGAGACGACGACATCGACGGTCTTTCTGGTCACTTTGTTTGTTGCTAAGCCGTAGGAAAAAAAAACACACTTGAGGTCTTGTGTAATATGTTTGATTATTGTATTTGGCTTACCATATTTTGGAAAAACATTTAGGTGCTCAATCGATGATTGTGTAATATGTACATCTATATTGGTTTGATATGGTCTTATAAGTAATATAAACATGCACACAGTCACATACTGAAATCCCAGAACACTCGTGCTGCGCTATGTCAATTGCTGCAGGTGTTCTTCTCTGCAACGGATTTTCCAGCTACTCTGACCTATGTTGATTGCACTTTTTGACATGGGAACATGTTTTTGCTCAAATAAAACTACAAATAGAAACTTTCTAGTGAATTTGGAAAAAAATAAACGAACCTAAATTGGAAACGGTATTCTTTTTGTTTTTTTCCCCTTTTTCCAATTGGACGTTTTCGGGCGACAGTCACGACCCCACGGGGGAGATGCACCCAAGTTTTATGAATCAAAGGGTAGCTCTCAACACCCCGTAGCTACAAAGGGTTGTAAATTAGTGTATATATATATATATATCCGTCCACATTCACCATGTTTTTGGTATATGGTATATATATATATGGGTTGTAAATTAGGCAAATCTTACACTTACTTATGATAACTCCCAAAAGTGGCTATCATGTACCATCATGTACATGGTAATCATGGTAGCAGACCAGATTCCAGTTCACAAACGTGAAACCTTCGGCCATTTTGCGACAGTTATCCTTACCATGCTGAAAATACGCTTGAGTGGAACATACACTACATACGAACATACGAACATACATACATTCGTTCATACGGACAGACGGAAGGACGGGCAGGCAGGCAGACAGGCAGACAGGCAGACAAACAAACAAACAGACAAACAAACAGACAGACATACTTACGTTACATCACATTACATGACATTACTTTACACTACATTACATTACATTACAGTACATTAAGCTTCATCACGTCACATCAAATTACATTACATTACTTTACATTACGTTACACTACACTACATTTCATTACACTAAGTTTCATCACACTACATTACATTACATTACTTTACTTTACCTTACATCATATTACATTACATTGTTATTACATTGGCATTACATTGCACTATATTTAATATTACATTTACATAGAATTTTCACTGCATTTACATCACAACTTACATTACATTACACTACAGTACATTACGTTACATGCATGCGTACATACATACAGAAAAGCAGACAAACATACATACCATCATTACATTTATTACATCAACTTCATGCATTACATTGCGCTACACAAAACGCTACGCTACGTGGAACCTTTTCCACAAGTCGAAGTGGCTTCCAATCTTGGTCTAAAAATTCATCTAGCTGGCAAATGCTAAGGTTGCTACCGTTGTTACCGACTTAGAAACTCGGATGCATATTCAATTACTACCCTCTGGTAAACAAACAGTTTGCTATTGAAAATGGCCATTTATACTTTATAGTTGATTGACCCATTCAAAATGGTGGATCTTTCCAGTTCGTTATGTAAACGTTTACCAGGCCAGGTAAATCCCATTAAATCCCGGTAAATCACCATTTTTTTGGGTGAAATCCCATTAAAAACCCATGGTAAAAAGCCATGGTTTCCCAAACTCATCAAGGTTTACCCCTCGAAGTAGGGTCGCTGAAGACTGCGCTGTTTTCGGTCTCGCGTCCTGTGCTGCTTTGCAGGTCTCACTCGGAGCCGCCAGAGGCTCCTGACAGTGGCTGTGCCAAGGGGGAAAACAACAAAACATTGAAAAATTATGGTAAAATCAGGGTTGAACCAACACAAATGGTGGTAAGATGGGAATTGAACCAACACAAATCCTGGTAAAATCAGGGTTGAACCAACACAAATGGTGGTAAGATGGGAATTGAACCAACACAAATCCTGGTAAAAGGGTTGAACCAACAACAACACAAATCCTGGTAAAAATCAGGGTGAACCAACACAAATGGTGGTAAGGGAATTGAACCAACCACATCCTGGTAAAAATAGGGTTGAACCAAAACAAATGGTGGTAAAGATGGGATTGAACCAACACAAATCCTGGTAAAATCAGGGTTGAACCAACACAAATGGTGGTAAGATGGGAATTGAACCAACACAAATCCTGGTAAAATCAGGGTTGAACCAACACAAATGGTGGTAAGATGGGAATTGAACCAACACAAATCCTGGTAAAATCAGGGTTGAACCAACACAAATGGTGGTAAGATGGGAATTGAACCAACACAAATCCTGGTAAAATCAGGGTTGAACAACACAAATGGTGGTAAGATGGGAATTGAACCAACACAAATCCTGGTAAAATCAGGGTTGAACCAACACAAATGGAGGTAAGATGGGAATTGAACCAACACAAATCCTGGTAAAATCAGGGTTGAAGCTTGTCATCAGCACTAAAATGGTGGTAAATGGGGAAATTGACCAACACAAACCTGGTAACAATCAGGGTTGAACAACACAAATTGTGGTAAGATGTGGAATGAACCATACACAATCCTGGTGAAAATCAGGGTTGAACCTAACTACAAATGTGGTAAGATGTGGGAATTGAACGGCACAGGCAATCCTGGTAAATCAGGGTTGAACAACATCAATGGTGGCGTAAGATGGGAATTGACTCGAACCTAAATCCTGGTAAAATTCTAGTGTGAACGGCACAAATGGTGGTAGATGGGAATTGAACCAACACAAATCTGGTATAAAAAATCAGGGTTGAACCCACACAAAGATGGTGGTAAGATGGGAAATTGAACGCAACACAAATCCTGGTAATCAGGTGAACCCACTACAAATGGTGGTAAGATGGAATTGACCAATCACAAATCCTGGTAAAATCAGGGTTGAACCAACACAAATGGTGGTAAGATGGGAATTGAACCAACACAAATCCTGGTAAAATCAGGGTTGAACCAACACAAATGGTGGTAAGATGGGAATTGAACCAACACAAATCCTGGTAAAATCAGGGTTGAACCCACACAAATGGTGGTAAGATGGGAATTGAACCAACACAAATCCTGGTAAAATCAGGGTTGAACCAACACAAATGGTGGTAAGATGGGAATTGAACCAACACAAATCCTGGTAAAATCAGGGTTGAACCAACACAAATGGTGGTAAGATGGATTTAACCCGACAGTCAAATGCCTGTAAAATCAGGTTGAACCAACACAAATGGGTGGTAAGATGGGGAAATTGACCAACACATAATGCGCTGGTAAATCAGGTGTAACCAACTTACACATGGTGGTAAGATGGAATTGAACCAACACAAATCCTGGTAAAATCAGGGTTGAACCAACACAAATGGTGGTAAGATGGGAATTGAACCAACACAAATCCTGGTAAAATCAGGGTTGAACCCACACAAATGGTGGTAAGATGGGAATTGAACCAACACAAATCCTGGTAAAATCAGGGTTGAACCAACACAAATGGTGGTAAGATGGGAATTGAACCAACACAAATCCTGGTAAAATCAGGGTTGAACCAACACAAATGGTGGCAAAATTGGGATTGAACCATTCTGTCTGCCATCTGTTTTGACATTCTTTCTGGCATTCTATCTGGCATCTATTCTGACATTTTTTCTAGCATCCATTCTGGCATTCTACCTGGCATCTATTCACAGATTCATTCATGTTGGCATTCTATCTGGCATCTATTCTAGCATTCTATCTGGCAGTCTCTCTGACATGGGCATTGCCTGACCTCAACCGCTAGCGCCAGATCTCAATGGGACTGAGCTCGCAGTTGAGGTCCGGCAGTGCCCGAGGAGAAGAAGCAGAAGGAGAAGGCAACTCTAATAAAATATCCCCCTTGCTTGATGGGTACCCACCTCTACCCTAGCATTTCACAAATGATATGCATTTTTAGGAGTTGATAAAAATGGGTTGCCCTAGGAAAACCGCAGTTCTGCAATATAAAATGCAGATATAGATTGATATTTTAAAAAATTGTGTTTTTATGCCAACGCGTCCAAAGATGAAAATATCCCGATGACATTTTGTTTTACATTTTTTATTTATGATTTTATGGAATGCCAGGGTTCATTTATGGGACTTGCAACAAATACCACTATAAAATGCCTTGATGCTAGAAAAACCCTTAAACAATGTATGCACATCAATGCCATCTATAAAATGGGTTTGACAGCAAATGGCGTCAAAAGTAGAGAAACCCACCACATTTGGGATACCCTGTTAAGTCAAACCCAAACTAGCTTCTGTATTTGCAGCGGGTTCAAAATAATTACAGTTTACGCACTGGCAGCATGTTCAATTACAGGTTAGGTAATGGCAGAAAGTCAAATAAACGCAGGTAATCAAGCCAAACATTTGAAATATCAAATGGCACCCAATGTAGTTCTTCTATTGTTGGAAATATACATTCATGTGCAATCTCCTCAACTCCTACACTGTGTCCTATAAAATGCCCTTTCTGGAAACTGAGGGGGAAATACCAATGAATCCCAGGACAAAGCATTTTATAAATATCCCGGTGGTCGCATAGATATCTTAAACTTATCTGGGTTGTGTTCTATAAAATGGATTCCAGTGAAAAGAAGAATAGAAATACCAGCCATCTTCAGATAAAGGCATTCTATAAATGCAAGAAAGGGCGAGAATTTGCATATACTGTAGACATCTGCCTGTCTTCAGGACAACCCCCAACTTGGTTCTATAAAATGGCCCTGCTTCTTCAGATTGTACGGAAGTACCCAGCAAAGGCATTTGTTTTTTTGCATTCTATAAATACGATGTGAGAACTCGGAGCTGGGGACGGCAGGGACAACAAGGGGGGTAAACAATTGAGAAATGCACAGTGGGTGTAAAGTTTGTAACCACAATAAGGTGGTGGCCTAAATAGGCACAAACGACAAAGACGATAACACATGTGTTCAGAAGTGTTGAAACACAATGTGACATGTATGCTTTATATAACTATCATTTGTTATGTAGATGTTTGTGTTGCATATATGTTGCGAATGTCTGTGTGTATTGTATTTTTGTATGTGTTTTTGCGTTTATGAGAAGGTACTTGGAGGGGGCATGTTGTAACACCACATGTCTGGCATTTTGTAAGCAAAAATCTAGAGACCCTCAGCTGGCAGGTGGGAAAAAACAAGATATCCTTTGCTGGTTACTATGATGTATCCTCGGGTCATCAAACAAGGCTAGCTGGAAAACCCCCCACTGATATATCTGATAGATGATTTTCCCAGTAAAACCATCATTTTTTTCGTGGATTTTCAAGTGCTGTGTTTGATCACCCCAAGGTAAGCCATTGTATACTCAGTTTTTTTCGGGCCTACTACCCAGTGGAACCATGAAAAGAATGCCCCAGTCTCGTCCCATAAAAAACACGGGGTCAGTTCATAATCTCCAATTCTTGTCGCGGTAAATAGCCCCCATTCACAGGTTCCAATCTACAATACCCTGAAAAAAAAAACATAAATTCTTTGCTGGTTACCCTCTGGTAAACGTTTACATAACTATGGAAAATCACCTTTTTTATGGGAAAATCAACTATTTCTATGGCCATGTTCAATAGCTATGTTCGTTTACCAGAGGGTATTCAATATATTCTTTGGAAATCGCTGTTTTCAGAATGGATTAAACATTCGCCATCCAGTCGCTTGAGCCAGATTGAAAAGAATCAACCACAAACCAACCAACATTCAAAAATCGCAATATCCCTCATCTTTACGATGAAAATCCGCCTCACGGAGTTGGTCAATGATGCTTGTTTCACAAGTACAGATAGTACAGTATGAAGTCCATGGTGTTTTTTGTCAGAAATATGAACTCCATCCCATGTACCCTCCATGTTTCATCCGAATATCCCCATAAATTCATTGCTATTTTTCATCACGATTCACCATTTTTGAATGTTTTTGAATCCCATGAAAACACCAAAATCATCTTCCTGAAAAATTCCATTAGAGAAATAAGAAAAAATCACCAGTTTGTTGGTTCAAAGTTTAAATCCCATGAAACCACCATTGATATACATATATATATATATATCACTATACTACTATAGATATATTACATGAAACCCATAAGACACAACAAAAAATTATCTTGGGCCAAAATCACGTTGAATCCCGTCGCACCATGGCCCCTTGGGCCTCTGCGGAGCCTGTGGTTGGTTCGTCCGCTGGAGGCTTCTCGTCAACCGCCTGCGATGTCCACATGAAACTTTGGTTCAGAGACTCAACATGTTGGTAAATGTTGATTTTTCTAGTGAGCTGTTTTCTTGTAACAATGAACAATACAGTATATTCCACCAAATATGGGGTTAGTTACAGTACCCCAATCCAATTCCCATCATGCCAGTGCCGTTGCGACGTGTATGGTGAAATGGCGATTCGGCATGATTTGACCAAGGAGAATTCTCCAAAATTCTGATTTCCACGGCGATTTAACCAACAAACCAACCATGATATATGGCGATTTACCAGGAACATGTGGGGATATTGGCTGGGATATTTGCTGTATCAAAACTACAATTTCAATGGGTTTGGGTCAACAAAGAATGAGCATGTCTTGGGATGTCACATGATTTTACCAAGCTGGTGATATTAAAGGATTTGACTTGACCAACAAAAAAAATCGGCCGACCATTTTATGGGAACGAAGTGGGAAATAATTAGACGGTCTATTCATGGAAAATATATAGCCAGGTGGTGCCCCTGGTTCGTGAGTTGGTTGACATAGGTTATTGGTGATGAAAGAACCCTCTGGTAATTTGTTACATAGCTATAGAAAATCACCATTTTTAATAGGGAAACCATCTATTTCTATGGGCCATTTTCCATAGCAAACTGTCAGTTTACCAGAGGGTATAAATCGTTGGTGAGTGTAAACCGACAAACATTGCTGGGGGGGGGCACGGCTGAATAGTATTGTGGATGAACAATACCCTGCACCAGTTGGTCCAGTAGTTGATTTATCATGGTTATCCTGCACCAGTTGGTCCAGTAGTTGATTTATCATGGTTTATTATGGTTTATCATGGTTTATCATGGTTTATCATTGTTTATCCCATTATGTACCATGCTTCATAATCACCATCCACAGTTTGGCCATGGGGATTGCTGTCAAAAAAAAGTGGTTCTATTGGTTGTCAATGTGGCTATATGTATACGAATTATTACCGGAGTATAACTATTATAGGCATGATGATTATAGGCATGAACATGAACAACTAAGGATTTCACAATCCAAATGAATGATGTGTGGCTGATGTGATTTATATAATGATTCAACAACCAAAAATGAGAACATGTGACCGACAAATATGTGGGGTTTACATAACCTGAAACTATGGCTATACAAGATTGCACTCTGGCATCAATGCGGAGATTGTACGCACAGGCTTGCGGGTATTGTTATACGCTGCTGACTATGCATACAAAGCTTCTGATTGTATGGATACGGATCATCGCAATCATGACTTAGCTACATCGATTTGCCCAAAAAAAATCTGGGCAATTTGCCGCGACTGGTGGCAATTGAACTTCACGGCATTTGACGGCAAAAACAGAAACCATGGGATTTGGAGTCCCATTCATTCGGGGAAAATCGGCTGGACCTGGCAAGGATCAGGCCAATCCTAACCATCCAGGGAGAACAGCTTTTGGTGCTGAACTAAGCCTGATCTAAATCCGAAAATTTCTGTTGGACATAGCCCACTAAAATATGTGGGTGATACACCCATAGTTTTGTTTCCCAGAAAATATCCCAAACAATGTCACCATATGTATGTATAATGCTTGGTTAAATGCACCTACACTCTGGTAATTCAACAGTTCGCAGAAACATCACCACCGTTTGTCAGTGGGCAATTTTCCATAGCTGTTCAAATAGTTTGCTGGTGGAATCTCATGAAATCCCATGATATTCTAATTCGTGTTGGTTCAAGCCCGCTACCCTCCAGTAAACTCATAGATATGGTATAGATTGCCCATCTAGTTCGCAAATTTATCCATAAAAAATAGTCATTTTCGTAGCTATCTTAGTCTACCAGAGGGTATATCATGGTTGGTGTGTTTGTTAAATCCCACTCAATCTCACTAAATCACATTTTTTTATTTTAATGGTTAGATAATGTTACCCTCTGGTACCCCAACATAGCCATGGAAAATCACCATTTTTAATGGGTAAATTAACTATAAATGACAATTTTCAATAGCTGCGTAACAAATTACCAGAGGGTATATTCCATAAATCACCATTACTAACCATTACTGACAATCACTAACCATTATATAGTAACCATTATTAGCCATTATACCATGGTGGGATTAATTGGGATTATATTGGGAATACCCTCTGGTAATTTGTTACATAGCTATTGAACATGGCCCAGTCGAAATAGTTAATTTGCCCATTAATAGCATGGTGGATCTTTCCAGTTCGTTATGTAAACGTTTACCAGGCCAGGTAAATCCGATTAAATCCCATTAAATCCCAGTAAATCACTACTTTTTTTGGTGAAATCCCATTAAAAACCCATGGTAAAACCATGGTTTCCCAAACGTCGCATGGGTTTCTGGGATCCCCACATGATTCCGTCATCTCCATGCGGTGAAAAAACAAACGCGGTACCCAAGGCCGGTCACCTTTTAAAATGGTGATTTTCCATAGCTACGTAACAGGAATTAACTATAAATGACAATT